CAAACCTAGACGGATCATTTCCCATCCCTCTAAACCCTATGGCGAATCTCGAGTCGCTTCCTTCTGATCTTTTGTACGAGATATTGTTGAAAATATCTTCAAACTCGTATGCGGATCTTTGTCTTGCAAAAGTGTCGTCCAAAACACTTAACAACATCTCAAACGAAGCGGGTTTTCTTAGGAATGTTGATTTAATCAACATTATGTTGCCGTGGAGGTGGGATGTTCACGGAAGGGTCGGTGCATTCTTCAGACGGTGCTTGGCGGCAGGAAATCCATCCGCACAATTGCGAAGAGGTTTATCGCTGATTTTCTTCGAACATAACCTCCAAGCAGGGTGTGATCTCATTCGAATGGCATCAGACAATGGATTTCTCATGGGTAAGTACTGCCACACTATGTTACATCTAACCATGGATGGCACATCAGAGGTATTCAACTCTGTCAAAGCTCTCTCCCGGGAAGATGCAAAGCAAATGAGATTGGCAATGGAAAAGATCTTCATGCCTGCGTTCAATTTCCAGAAGCCCGAGGAACTGGTGGAAATGGTTTTCGAGGCTTATAAAAAGTCTTTAACTACAAGGATTTGTGGTTGTCTCAAAGTACCAGACATGCAATGGATGGGAGATGAATACCTGCTAGAGACGTATGGGGATCAACTTTGTGAATCCTGCTTCTGGAAATTGGAGTGTGCCAATTTCTGGTGGGTAGTACCGTCGTTTGCTATGGATTGGCCACGTTGATTGCATCAGTAGTCGTCAAAAAGACTTCTGTTTAGTTAAGTAGATTTGTTTTTATTATGAAGTAGACTTATGAAGTTATGTTGTGTTATTTATGTTGTGTTAAGTAGATTTATGTGTTATTCATTTCGAAAGCTATTAATTATAACAAATCTACCAAAAATAATAATAAGTCTACCATTCGTTCGACTGAAATTGGGGACATGACAAGTCTTTTACAACAAATCTACCAACAATATAATATAAGTCTACCATTCGTTCGACTGAAATTGAGAACATGACAAGTCTTTTACAACAAATCTACCAACAATAAAACATAAGTTTACCATTCGACTTAATATAAATCTACTAAACATAAGGAAACGGACTTGTACTGGTTTTGCACCTGCTTAAATGTACTGTACTTTAGTTGGTAGAGCTATAAACATTACAAGTACATATGTTTTATTAATGGTAGACTTAGTAACCTATATGGTAGATTTGTTTGTAAATTGTTAGATTCAATATCAATGTGGTAGACTTAGTTATCGGGCAGTGCGATTTTACTTTTTTGCCCTGTATGTATTGTCTAAAGTACGGAACAAAACCAGAGTCCATCTTCAACCTCTAGGTTTCGTCGTCGAGCTGTTAAACTTGGGATAACTCTTGATTTTTTCCTTCTACTTCGATCTTCTGCCTCTTATCCACTTTTATATTCATGGATCAAGTTGTTTTGGTTTGTGGTAACTGGGTTTTAAAGAAAACGAGGTGGGTCTTCATCGTAGATCAGTCCAGGAGATGTAGTTTTATAGGGATAGACCGCAAAACGTCATTTGCCGATTTGGTTGAAATCGCATATGAAGATTTTGGGTTGGATCAACATCTTTATGAGCTTCAGTTCAGCTATATGTTGTCGTCTGAAGTCCGGCGGAAATTACCTCTGGATACACCTCCTGTGTTTGTTGGTAATTCAAGACAGTTGCAGAGTTTTTTGCATCAATTCCAGAACGAAAACGAAACGGTTCGTTTATGTGTTGAGATCAAAGAAAAAGTTCAGAAGGGAGTTGTTGATGAAGACGAAGATCGAGATGCATGTCCTAGTCTAGTCCCTGAAGAACAAGTGCGCCAAGATCGTCCGCAAGAAGGTGTCGAAGTTGGACAAGACGAAGAAATGCATGATGAAGAAGAGGATTTGTCAACCAGGTTTGATGGATGTGAAGATCCTGATGGTGCAAGTTCCGATGACGAAGAGTACGGAAGACGTGAGAAACGTCCAGATGGTGAAAGTTCAGATGAGGAGGAGTCGCTAAATCTACCACCGAAGAAAAGGGGACCGACTACAATTCCCGACTTTCAAAGTCTAGAGCTTTCATCTTTAGACTTAGCCGTTGGCCAGCGTTATGAAACAAAAGAGGACTTCGAGATGCGACTCAAAATTCTTTCCATTGCTCACAAATTCGACTACAATGTCGATCATTCGAGTAAGAAATTGCTAACTGTTAAGTGTTGGGTAGATGGTTGCAAATGGAGGGTTCGCGCTTCAACTGTTGGGAGCAGCAAATGTTTTTGGGTTAAAACTTATACTCGAGAACACACGTGTTCTGTGACTGTGCGATCACAACGCACCCGCCATGCAACCCATGAGGTTCTAGGCCGTCTATATAAGGACTTCGTCGGCGGTGTTGGCCCAAAAGTCTTACCAAATCACGTCGCCGAAGCTCTGACCAAACGATATAGTATAAAGGTATGTGGTAGAGTTATATTATTTCTTTGGTAGAGTTATTATCTCCTTGAGTAGACTTTTATTATTTTGGTAGAGTTATTCGCTCAATTGGTAGACTATTTATTTTTTGGTAGAGTTATTAGCTCAATTGGTAGACTTTTTTTAATTTTTGGTAGAGTTATTAGCTCAATTGGTAGACTTATATAATTTATTTAGTAGACTTATATACTTTATTTGGTAGAGTTATTATCTACCATGGTAGAGTTATAATTTTTGGGGTAGAGTTATTATCTTATTTCGTAGACGTCACTATATTATTTCTCATTATAAGGTTGACTATTGGAAAGCACATCGGGCCCTAAAGTATGCTCGAGAACTAGTATCAGGGACGTCTGAAAGTGGTTATGAAGATCTGCCTTCATACTTATATATGATTCGGCGAGCAAATCCGGGTACACTAATCAAGCTAGAAGTTGATGAGGAAGATAGATTCAAATTTATGTTCCTCTCATTTGGCGCAAGCATACAGGGGTTTCCCTTCATGAGGAAAGTGGTAGTGGTCGACGGTACGTTTTTACATGGAAAATACAAAGGTACCCTACTACTCGCCACCACGCAAGATGGAAACTTCAACATTTTTCCCGTAGCTTTTGCTGTTGTTGATACTGAGAACGATGAGTCTTGGGAATGGTTTTTTACATAACTACACCGTGTTATTCCTGATGATGAAGGACTTGCCATTATTTCTGATAGGCATAAATCCATAGGAAATGCTATAGGGAAGGTTTATCCTCTTGCTAGTCGGGGTATTTGTACATATCATCTCCATAAGAACATTATGGTGAAATTCAGAGGCGCTGAAACATTCAAGCTTGTTAAGAAGGCTGCCACTGCTTATAGACTTCTCGAGTTCAATGCCCTTTTTGCTCAGATTTAAGAGGCAAATCCTGCACTGCATGCATACTTGGTGAAGGCAGATATTTGTATGTGGAGTCGTGTACACTTCCAAGGTGATAGGTACAATTTCACCACTAGCAACATAGCGGAGTCATTAAACAAGGTGCTATCTGCTGCAAGAGGTAAGCCTATCGTAGGACTAGTGGATGATATAAGGAGTCTCCTGACCAGGTGGTTTGCTAAAAGACGTGTGAATGCTAATAACATGGCTACCACTCTAACAACGGGCGTTGAAAAGTTGCTGGAGGTAGTCACTACTTTACCTTGTAGACTTTCTATTATTTGGTAGACTTGTATCTGCTATTAGGTAGACTTTCTATTATTTGGTAGACTTGTATCTGCTATTAGGTAGACTTTCTATTATTTGGTAGACTTGTATCTGCTATTAGGTAGACTTTCTATTATGTGGTAGACTTGGCACATTTATCTCTGCTATTTAGTAGACTTTCAATTATTTGGTAGAGTTATTACTTCTATGTGGTAGACTTATGTAACTTCTGAATAATTCCTTGCCGACAGGCTAGAGTTGAAGATGCTAAACTCTTACATGTGCAAGAGATTGATCAGCATCGTGCAGAGGTTTTAGGCACAACATCTGCACATGTTGTCAATTTAACGGAGAAAACATGTACTTGTCGACGGTTTGATTTGGATAAAATTCCTTGCGTACATGCCATAGCCGCCGCCGATAGGAGGAAGTTGTCGCCGATCTCTCTTTGCCATCATTACTACCACACTAGTTACTTGCAACAAGCGTATGCTGTTAGTGTGATGCCAAGAGACGTAGCACTCCCTGTGCCAGATGAAGTAGCAACCAAAATTTGTCTCCCGCCTGATGTTCGCAACCGACCCGGCAGGCCAAAGAAAATTCGGATTAAGGGTGCGTTCGAGGCCGCCATGGCGAGTAAACGTCCTCGGAAGATCCCCAAATGTGGTAACTGTGGCCAAGGCGGACATAATCGCCTAACTTGTCGAGCTTAGTTGACAAATCGAAAACCTTGTATTTGTACTATTATAGACTGCAATAATCCGCTTGAAAACCTTGTTTTATGTACTTGTAAATCTGGAACTTGTTTTACCTAAACTCTTACTATTTTACAATAATAAATCTACTAATCATGCTATAAATCTACCAATACTGCAATAAATCTACCAATCATGTTATAAATCTACTATTCATGGAATAAATCTACCAGTCATGTTATAAATCTACCAATATTGCAATAAATCTACCAATCATGTTATAAATCTACCATTCATGGAATAAATCTACCAATCAATAGATCTTCCGGGTACAATCTCTGGGGATAATCCTTTGAGCCGCTAGCTGAAGCCATGTCTGCAAACAATAGGTAAGATTAAAATCTTACAAATCTACCACACATGAACAAACACATGTCTACCAAACTCGACAACAACTATAGAATACCTACCACAAAACATTAACAAATCTACCAAAACGAACACAAATCTACCACAAATAAAAGAAAAGAAAATATACAACACAAATCTACCAAATATATACATAAATCTACCACACACAAAGAGAGAACGCAAATATAGAATTCGTAAGTCTACCAAACGCAATTTTAAACCCACAATCATTACAAACACAAATTACTCACCACATATGAAAACAAATCTACCATGAACAAGTCTACCAAACTCGAAAGCAACTATAATATAAAATCTACCAAACCCGGGAGCAACTATAGTATATAACTCTACCAAATACGACCAAAAGTCTACCACACATGGAATAAATTAACCAACAATACATAAATCTACCAATACAATCTCAATAATAACTCTACCAACAATACTTTGATTATTCAAACAAAACAATGAAACGAAAACAAATCTACCTCATATAGAAAACAAATCTACCTCACATATACAAATCGACCAAATGCAACAACTACTGAAAAGTCTACCAAAAACAAATTAGAACCGAACCACTCCGACCAGAAATTACTCGCCGGAAATCGTGTAGGGTCTCTGGAAACCGTTCTCCAAAGACGGAAACCGCCGATAATAATACTTCCCTGAAAAAAATAAGAAAAGGGTTACGATTTCTGAGTAAAATCATGTGAACAGATGGTTTCTCTTCCGCCGTTAGCGCGAAACCACCGTTGACACCCAAACACAACCGTCGCGACTAAAGGCGTAGACAGTTTTCGACATAACCCCGAAAACCCAAGACAAAAACTTGTTCGAGACGAGAAATGAACCCAGATGTGAAACACTTACCAGATGAGTGGCCGAAAAACCTTTCGTCGCCGCCGAAAACCCTAAATCGCCTATAACGTCGCCGAATCGCCTATATCGTCGCCGCCGGATTAGGGTTTACAGTTTTTTTTTTGTTTTGTAATTTCTAATTTTAGAATTAGGGAAATGTTTGTGTATATACGTGTATATATGTGTATATACGTATGTATATAATTTGAAATTTTTTTTTAAATTACAATGGCAATCAGGTAATAATATTGATTATTTGGACAAAATGGTATAACACCAACTTTCTAAGGTTAGTCTAGTAAGCTGATGAATATGTTAGGCTAAGTTTGTCAATACATTAACCTTAAAGGTTAGTCTGAGGAATTTTCACTAATGGCAAAATGGTCGAGAAATATTGCTTTTGCCAAAAATTTGGAACTCCTTTCCCATTGTGTAATAAGATTGACCAGGCTTCATATATGGGTCTTCACCAAATAAACATTCAGTATGAAAAGTGGTGCAACACTCCTTACACCAATAGAATACCTTTATACATGTGTCTCTTAAATCGCGTTCACATACCTCACAACAATCATTCTCATTTATTTCTTCACCACATAAAACTGTGAGAAAGTGTTTGTCATACTTATACATTGCTTTATATGGTAAAGTAGCACACTTGAAACATATAATAAAATTGCATTTGATGCAATTTAATTGTTTGTGACATTCTATTTTGCATACCTCACATATTGGTTTTTTTATTGGGTCCAAAGCTAGGAACAAGGGGTGTTCATGAACTTTGTAATCAAACGGCTCAGAGATTAAAGCACACCTCACATCTAAGTCGAATTCGCAATCCTCTATGTAACATTCATAGACAAACCCACCACAAATACGATCACAAGCATTGCACTCAAAGTAACCATTTTCATATTCAGTAGCAATCTTCAATATAAGCAGATGAGGATGTAATGCATGTTGTATTCTACGGGGAGCCATAGCACATGTTTCATAGAGGATGAACTCACACTCAATACAAGAATAATAGTTACCTTCAAAGATTGGAAGGACACACGCTTGACAAAGCTTGTTTTCATCGTAAAGTATGTTGACCTCGAACCGGAGATGATGATCATGAAGAAAATGAAGTATTACTCCTTCAGATATAATATCAAATGGCCTAGCATCTTGTGTTACATCATCTTCTTCTGGTACACCTTCGAGTTCTTCTCCATCCCATACATTTTTTCCTAAAGCACATCTTGAATGAACAGCATAATCACTACATTTGTCACAAGTATAAGCACCATAATCGCAGTCAACCCTTTGACGACAAACTCCACAAGACCACTCTCTTGATTGAAGAGAAGAAGTGTAAGAGATACGATGGTGATGACGTGATATCTTGATAATGTGTGGGAAATACATGCAATCTTTATGAGCTACAAAGTTGCATATGAGACAAACGTAGGTGAGGGAACTTTTTCTCAACAAACCACAAACATTACAAGTTAAGGAGGTTTGTCTAGGAAAAAAGGTTAGGGGATGGTTATGCCTTTTTGGTTGGTCTATAACGAAGAGTATTGGTTTCATCATGCAGACAGGATGCATGAAAACCTGACAAATGGTACAATAATATACCATATCTATCCCTCTTTCTCCACAATATAAACACTCAGTATTCCTGCCACTAAAATCACAATAAAGTTGGAGAGAATGTTCAGGATGGTAAGGATGTTTAATTTTAGCTGGAGACTCCACGCATTCTTTGTGGTATGTTTCGTGATGGTATTCACAAAAATAAAAGATTGTACCAAAATTTGATACATTGCATAGTTGGCACTCATCAGCATCGACATTGAAATCTTTATTGTTGCACCTATACAAGGGACGTACAGGATGATAACGAAATGTTGGTGTAGAGAGGATGTACTCGGGGGAAGAATTGATAGGAAAAGAGTTACAAAACGGTATAGGAGCGTCTTTATTCCATCGTGCAAGAGGGCATAGGAAAAGAGGTTGAAGAGGCTGGTTGTGGCTGGTTGTTTCACTTGAGGAGGTTAGGCTTTGTGTTTGTGGCATTGGGTGGTACTTTGGATGGTGGTATACCAGAAATGGTTTACCATCCATTTCCTCGAGATGAAATCCAGCAACAGAATCCATGATGGCTTGTTGTCTTTCTTTATTTTATGTCTCTCAAAGTTTTTCTAAAGTTTTTGGTTATACAATAATCAATCTTGTGAAAAATGTCCCCTATATAGATGAATATTTGATTCCAAAAGATATCTTTCTATTTTTGATTACTAGATTCGTAATTTAGTAACGTAATGAATTTATTCCTTTGTTTGTAGTTGTGATGTTCTTTCCACGCAAATCAAGAATCAATTTTTTTCTTAGCAAAATGATTTTCGAACTTTTTAAAGCTATCCGTTTCTTCAGGACTTTCACTTCACAAACAATTATCTATAGAATTAGTCTGAGAGACTTTATTCTTTTCAAGTGTATAGTTTCTTTTTTTTTTATAAAAACGGTAAGATTACAAATCAGCTTCGTAGAGTAATACACTTCTTGTTGATCATGACAAGCTCATTTTCCTGGTACATATATGCAATATTTATATATCAATATTCAATATGAAGACAATCATGATTTGAACATATGAAGCAAATAAAACTAATACACTTCTTCTTCTTGGCTGCAAATGCAATTTTTGCTGAAGAATCTCTCAAATGTTCTTTGCTTTATCATATCAACCAAAGAACATTTAGCATTGATCAGTATATTGTAAGTTACCTGCCTAACTAAAGCATCACATATCTCCAAGTTTCTACGCTACTACCATTTAGCATTGATCAAGTAAAAATTCAAAGTTACTATTTCTTATTTTCCAAGTCGGATGGGATCCGGGACAACTTCAGATTGCAAAAGTATAAATTGGGTTTGAGAGATTTATAGATAAAGTCCTTATTTTGCTTCCCATTCTTGGCGTCATAGGATTCATCAACAAATCTAAAAACTTACAGAAGAAAAAAAAAAAAAAAAAAACAAACCTTGACAAGCCTTCTAATCTATGAAACACGATCTCTGGTGGTAAAGATAGCCATCAACTCAGTCACCAGCTGCTTGTCATCATGCTTCATCACACACCTTTCTAAGAACACATTATCTGTCCATGTCAAGACATACGACACTGAAGGGAGGTCACTTCCCATCAATCCTTTGGAAATGAGAGCTTTGATTACGTTACATCTTGGTACAATCCTCTTCTCAATGCTAAATCCAAGTACAAGAGGATAGTGCTTGACCATCATCACAAACTCATCTCTGCTGAATCCTAGCCCTAGAAATGTTTCAAATGAGTTTACTATATTCTTCTCCGAGAGTGCCAGAAACTTTGGCCACTTCTTGAACACTGTCCATACATCTTCCACATCAAAGCCTAACCTTTTATAAACGTTTACTTTTGCTTCCATCGTTGTGACGCTCATAGTATAAACAGCCTGTAGAGCTTCGACAAAGGTAAAGGTTGTCGGATCAAAGCCCATGTCAACAACCTTCTTGACAGATTCTTCAAATCTTTCTTTTCCAGAGCAGATACGGTTATCGGAGATGAGTATAGAGAATAACAGCTTCTGAGGCATGCCCAATTCCCTCAAAACCGATAAATTCCTGATTTTGTTCTCCTGCTTACTACCCTGTGGCAAAGAATGACACAACTTTACATGCTTGGAGCTCTTATCGGCTTCTATGATCTCTTTCACGAAATCATAGTATATGCTGATAGTTTTCTCCCCTTTCCTTGCCAAGATTGTAGGGACTTTTGAAAGAATCTCAGTGAGCTCAGAGGTTGAAGCTCCTCTGGACTGCAGAAACTCAAGCTTGGGACCAATAGATTTCTCAGCATCTAATATAAACAACCGTGGATAAATGCTAACGATGCTGGAGATCTGAGAATCTGTGAACCCATGACTCCTAAGAAGACTCAGAATGGAATCTGGATCTCCCTTGCCCTCGGAGCTGACTTTCCTCGAGATCGATTCTGCGAGTTTCCTAGTTAAACCCAATGAATTAACGAGGTAAGAGACTGTAAAAATCTTCTCTTTTCGACCATCTTGAGGAAGGCTCACATCTGCAACCGCACTAGCAGAGGAGAAGGAATTGGAAAAAGCAGAGAATCCATTTCGCCATTTCTGTAACACGAGAGACCTTCTTCCATGGAGAATCAGAGTAGTATACATGAGAACGCAATGAGGTTACCAAATGCTTACAAATTCTGGCTCATAAGAAGACCCCACAGGACAAATTCTCAGGAATGAATCAACGAGGTAAGAGACTGTAAAGTTGTTCCCTTTTCAGTACCGCAAGAAGAAGATAACGAGTTGGAAAAAGCAGGAAGCATTTTGCACAATCTTCACTGAAACACCAAATGCTTGAAACGATTCGAGCTCATAAATAAGACGACAGGATAAATTCTCAAGATTTCTCCAAACTTACAAATGTCCAGTGGTGACTCATAAATCGAGTGCCGGTGACAATCGATGAGTATTCGAGTTCTCCATCTACCCACACGCCAGACCCAAAATGGCAAAAATCAAAATTTGGGGAGGTAGAAGAAACTAGAGAAATTAGGGTTTATGAGCAATCCCTAATAACGACAAAGAAAAGAAAAGAGGGAAAAAAAAAAACTTTACATAAATAAAAACAGGGACGACTTTAACTTCAAATATTCTTATAAAAAATTCTATATACTCTCTTTTTATTCGAGATATTCTTCTCTATTTTTCACCATTTTTACTTTACATTTTATTTAAAAATGGATCTCACTCTCCCTTAAAACCAAACCAATATCTAATTAATTTTGGTATTACTCAATTCAATCATCCAACCACCCAACCAACCAACCTTAATGGAACTCATTATTCTTCTTCTTTATTTTTTCTTCTTTCCATCGATGTAAAAAAAATCAAACCCAGAAATCTCCAACTCTAGTGGAGACGACCATCGACCGTAACAGAACCAAGCACATATCCGACAGCGTTCTAGAGTTGCTCTCAACGACCCTCAACTCAATATTCAAGGTGATTTCTTCCCCTTTACAACAAAAATAACAAGTTTTTATGTGTTTAGGATTTAAAAATTATGTTTGTGAATTTTTTCAGTTACTGAACTTTATGTATAAGTATATTCAGGCTTTACATTGGTTATGTAAGTATATTATAGTACTAAAATACGTATGAATCTGGTTGAATCATCGATCTGAATCAATCAATTCTATAAGTAACCTCAAGCTTTTTAGTACAACTGGTATTACTGTGACAACTGGTACATATGGTACTACTATGGATAACTATAAATATATTCTGTTATGTTTGGGAGTTTTTTTTAATACTGAATTTTATGTATTACGTCTATTAAGGCTTTACATTGGTTATTTAAGTATATTATAGTACTGAAATACGTATGAATCATACTGAATCATCGATCTGAATCAATCGGTCTATTCTATAAGTAACCTGATTTTTGTACAACGTGTATTACTGAAACAACTGGTACAAATGGTACTACTGATGGACAACTGTAAATAAATTCTAATGAAGAGGATGATCTATCCAGTCCCATATAAAGATGATTGGATTGTTCCTGACCATATTTGAGCAAAATGTGTATTTTCTCCAGAAATAGTTAAGAAAAAAGGACGCATCAACATAACTAGGCATCCATCAGTTGGAGAACATCGAGGGAGAGGAAGAGGAAGAGGAAGAGGAATAGGAGCATGGTTGTATAATGATCCTAACGTAGCAGAACAAGAGGAAGAGTGATAGGAACCGATGGTGATGTTTTGGTACAACTAGTATAACTATCGTGGACAACTAGTGTGAACTTGATGTTTTTTTCCGTTTTATTTAAAATACCGCATTTTGGAAAACAGTATGTGTTTAAAGACTCTATTTCATATCTATTTTGATGAAGTAAATCCAACTTGATGCATTTTTGAATATTGAGAACACAAAAGTCATATTTTCATAATATTTACCTTATACTTCTATGGCAGCTATTACAACTAATGCTATATAGTTATAATAAATTAACAAAAAACATAATTTTATACATTTAATTATCTATATGTGTTTTAAATGTCTTATTATTACCTATTTTCAAAAGTACAACTATAAAAATGTAATTTCTAGTACGATATAACTAATAAAATCGTTTTATCTATGAAAGTACAACTCTGTGTAATAAAAAAAAAATAGAGTACAACTTACCTACTTGGGTACAACTTTGTATATTATTTGACGGTGCAACAAAAGTAATTAATTATTTTTATAATTATTTTGACGGCGCTCGTGTAATTTGACGGCGCACATGTGGCTTTTATTTTTTATTATTATTTTTTAAAATTTTTGGACACTATACATTTCTTTTTACTTATTATTCTAGTTTTAACAACACCAGTTGTACGCGATAATACCAGTTGTACTAACCAAAAAAATCTGAAAACATAATTAAATTAATAAACCTTCTACTAGTTTTCAACCTTTTGAATCCTGTTTCACCAAACATAAAACAATAAACATTCTACTAGTTTCAACACAAACCATCTACTAGTTTCACCAAAAACCATCAACTAGTTTCAACAAAAACCAAAACAAACTTGTTTCTTCTACTTCTTTTTTGCAGCCTCTCGTTTCTTGGACAATATGCTTGAACTGGGAATGATTCTCAAACCAGTTCCTCTCTGAGATATCAAGCCTCTTGAAGACTTCCATAAAATTAAAGGTTTCACACCTTGATTGAAGCTTCGGGTATAACAGATACTCGCTTTGCTTGAAGAATAAATCTCGAGGTTCCATTGGTATTGAGACCTCCTTTTGCTGCATTCAAAACGCATATGATAAGTGAATAATAGTGTATTGGAACAACTAGTATTCTTGGTTCAACCACAAGCAAAAATCAGTTGTACGCGATAATTCCACTTGTACTAAACTTCTTCTGATACCGTAGCATACTCATCCTCAGATCTCTCTGGTTGAGAAGGTGAACCACTAGTCGGTATCCTCCAAAAATTCTGAAACAAAAATCAGAAATCAGTTGGGGTTCAAGGTTGAGGGAAAGAAATCATAAATTAGGGTTCTAATTACTCTTAAGCTTAGAAGATACCTGTTCGGCGACGACGGAAGTTTGAAACGGCGGTGGTGACGAGCCTAAAACGGCGGCGGTGGCGAGCCTAAAACAGAAGAGCAAAGAGTGGAGAGTGAGGGGCAGTGAGCGGTGGTAGGGATTTAATCGAAGAGGAAGAAGATGATGGAAAAAGATGATGGAATCGAAGAGGAAGAAGATGATGGAGGATGGAAGAAGATGATGGAATTGAAGAGGAAGAAGATTTGGGATCGGGAAATAGAGTTTTAGGGTTTGGTGAATGGTTTAATTAAATTTGATGGTTCAAAACAATTAAATCGGTTTAGTTTAATAATTTTCGGTTAACTTGGTTATTTAAATTGGATTCGGGTTTGGGTGTGGTACTCTAGATTGGATATGTAATTATGGTTATTCATTAAAGGTTTTTTTGTTTTTTTATGCTTTTTGTATTAAAAAGAAAATAAAAAAGAAAAGATGGATATAATGAGAATATATGAGAATTTGATATAAGGGAATGGAGTATGTGAGGTTAAGATCCGCAGAGTTACATGAGGCTGGGCATATGGTATGTTAATGATATGAAAAAAAAAAACACATTTATTTCCGAGGAAACTCAAAAACTCAAGCTCTATAATTACATATGTATGAATGAGAATGTGATCCTTCACAAGAAGATTTTTTTTTTTTTCTCTCAGCACCAACATACAGTATGTTAATTACCAAAAGAGAAACAAATACAAGAATGAAGTCGATCTGCAGTTAAAGAAACTTGAAGACATGGAATGTGTAGGTTCTTGACTGCCTGTTAAAACAGGATCCTATCCTTTCATGCCAATACTTCCATTTCCATAACCACTTGAATCACACTTTTCAATCTCTGACGAATAATTTGTTCTTCTTCTTCTGATCACAATTAAATGAAAAGATTGACTTGTGACTTGTGAGTTAACTGTTGGTGAGTCTTTACAGTTAACTTGCAGTGATCTAGTTGATAGATAGAGTTGATAGTTTGCAATGCGACTGAGATCATGTTCCTACAAGCCGTAGCCAAGAACGCAACCAAGAGGACCTGTCTTAAAGTTTCTCCAATTATACAACCGCTCTAGACAGACCTCTTAAGCTCCAAAATCCTAAATCCCAATGCCCATGAACTAAGCTCAGTTTTCGAACATACAGTTCTCAGTCTAAAGATGATTGTAGCAGTAAGACATTTTCAACTTTAAAACAACTCGTTTCTTACAATCCATCAACACCAAAAAAGGTTCTCGCAGGAGATTTAAAGTTTCTTTTCTTGCTGAAACTAATGCTTCTCCATGTTTTGTACATATGAAGAAACATCCAAGCTATCAAAACCATCAGCAAGAATCAAGACCAATATGGCTTCGAACCTATTTGTCTGATGAAAGTGTAAAGCTTTCACTATGGCCCAACTTGAAACAATCCTTTCAGATGATGAACAAAACTAACAGGAAAAAAAAAGGGCAACGATCAATCATGATGTAAGTCTCGTATATTGCCTCCCATTGCCCGAATCTAAAACTAACGGGAACCAAAAAAAAACCAACTTTGACAGGCCTTTCTATGCTATGAGACACGATCTTTGGTGAAGATGGCCATCAACTCAGTCACCAACTCCTTGTCCTCGTGCTTCCTCACATACTTTTTTAAAAACACTTCGTTGGTGCTCTTCAAAACACATTCCATCGAAGGGAGTTTGCTTTCTCTGTTTCCAAGCAATCCTTTGGACAAGAGAGCTTTGATAACGTTACACCTTGGGACAATCCTCTTCTCAAAGCTGTATGACATTACCTGTGGGTGTGAAGCCACGGCCTTTAATGGCCAATTCATCTTCTTCACAATAAATTCAGTCTTCTTCTCCACCGACTCTGCAGAATATCCAATGCACTGAGGAAAGCGCTTGACCATCATCGCAACCTCATCTCTGCTGAATCCTAGGCCTATAAATGTTTCAACCGAGTTCATTATCTTCTTCTCCGAGAGTGCCAGAAAGAGTGGACACTTCTTGAACATTGCCCATACATCATCCACATCAAAGCCTAACTTTTTACAGACAACACTGACTTTCTCTTGAGTTATTTTGTCACTCCATCCTTGAACAACGCATAGAGCATGGACAAACTTTGATGTGGTCGGATCAAAACCCAACCCAAGAACCTTCTTGAGGGATTCTTCAAATTTTTCTTTTCCAGAGACAGCTTTGGCATTGGATGTTAGCAAGTAGAATAGCAAACTCTGAGGCACACCTAGTTCTCTCAAAGCCAATACATTTCTGAGTTTGTTCTCCTGCTGACTACCCTCTGGCAAAGAATGACACAACTTTACGTGTTTGGAGCTCTTATCTGCTTCTACAATCTCTTTGACGAAATCATAGTATACGCTGATGGCTTTCTCCCATCTCATTCCCAAGATCTTAGGAAATTTTGAGAGATTCTCAGTGAGCTCAGAGGTTGAAGCTCCTCTGGACTGCAGAAACTGAAGCTTGGGGCCAAGGGATTTCTCAGCATCTAACATAAGCAAGCGTGGATAATTACTAACGATGCTGGAGATCTGAGATTCCGTGAAACCATATCTTTTAAGAAGACTCAAAACAGAATCAGGATTACCCTTTCCCTCGGAGCTCACTTTCTTCGAGATCGATTCTGCGAGTTTTCTAGTGAAACCCAGTGACTCAACGAGGTAAGAGACAGTGAAAGTTTGCTCTTTTCGACCATCTTGAGGGCTCACATGAGCAGCACTAGCGAAGGAGAAGGAGTTGGAAAAAGCAGAAGAATTTTGCAAAAGCTTCGCTGAAACTCTAAAGTTACGCCATTTCTGCAACGCGAGAGACCTTCTTCCGTGTAGTATCAAGGAATACATTCAAAGGCATGCGGATGCGAATACAGAGCCCGAAAAGGAGAAGAAGAGAAGGAATAAAAAACAAAAAAAAAAACGCTTTTGAAATGGTCAAATTCAAGCAAACGAGAGGCTATATCTCAAAATTTCTCTAAACTTAATCATGTGCCGTTGAAAGAAGATCGATGAGTGTCCGACCAAATCTCTCTGGTTTCAATTTGAGAGAAATCGAACCGCCCAAGCTTCGAGGCTAAAAATCTCAAATCGGAAATTGCGAAGCCCTAAATCGAAAAATATATATTCACGCGGTTAATAGTTAACCGAACCGAATTGGTTTACAGAGAGAATAAGACGAATAATGAACATAAATTAATTGAGAAATTAATTTTAGAAAAATGAGATTATGCGGAGTATTATTTATGGACAGATTATTAATAGATTGCATTGGAAATTTATGAGTAGCATTTTTGGTACTCAATTTGATTGAACCAATTTCGACTGACGTGATTGTGAGCAGCTCTTCATCATATTGCAAAACTCTTGATAGTTAATACTTCCATCCTTCAATAAAAATAGAAAAATATGAATTAAAAATTTGAAAAAGAATAAGCAAACTAATTGATATTTTACTATTTTAATTACAATATAAGACTTACATTATCGGCATCAACTTCTAATATAATCTCCTTGATCATGGCATCATCTCCCATATTATACTCTTTCATGGCGGTTTCTAATTCTTGTCTCGTAATAAACCTACAAACACATGTACTTGGTTATTAATCCGGTATAAGTCTGGTTTTTGGTTCGGTACAGATCGGTCTTTGAACATACCCGCTATTGTCTTTGTCGAAATGTTGAAAAGCTTTGAACAAATTCTCCTCTCGTTCCACTCTGTACCGGTTCATCGTAGCCGAGATGAACTCAATGTAATCAATCGTACCATTCCCATCGACATCAGCCTAAACCGAAATCATTAACCAAAGTATTCAGTATCGGTTTAACTCAAGGAAAAAGAGAGAATATCACACGCCCTTACATCTTCCAAAAGCTGTTTAACTTCGGTTTCAGTTAACCTCGAACCGAGTTTTTCCAGTCCGGTTTTCAATTCCTCGTAGGTGATTGTACCGCTCTTATCGGTATCTATGTTCGCAAACATCGTTTTAAGACCCTTTAGCTCCTCTTCTTTGAGATTTTGCGCGATAAACTTTAACCAAACGAAACCAAATTAAACCAATAAAACAAACCGATCTACTTTCACTACTAAACCTAATTCTTGAGGATACTTACTTTGAGTGCAAGCTTCTTAAGCTTGTTCATAGCTCGTAGTTGCTTCATCCGAGACAAAACTGCGCTATCAATCGGCTTATCTGAAGCTTCTCCATCTTTTTGTATCCACGGATGTTCTAGAAAATACCAAAACCGGTTCAATATCCTCGATTCAAAACATTAAACCGAGTTTACTAGTAATATTTACCTAGGATTTGAGCAGCAGTAAACCGTTTCTTTGGATCACTCTTTAACATGTTCCTCACCAAATCTTTAGCACTCTCTGAAATCGACGGCCACGGTTCAGACTCAAAATCAATCTCCCCTCTCAAAATCTCCTCAAATATTCCTTTATCAGTCTCTGCACGCCATAACCAGAAATGCAAAATTTAGTTAACCGAATAAATTACAAAATCAAATAAAAGTGGTCTGGTTTAAGATTACCAGCCCAAAACGGAGGAATTCCGCAAAGAAGGATGTACAGAATAACTCCAGCGCTCCAAATATCGATTGCTTTGCCGTAATTCCTCTTCAAAACCTCCGGTGCAACGTAATATGCACTTCCTACAATGTCTTCGTACACTTTGCCTAGAATAAACAGATCAGTTTCATCATCGATTAATCGATAAATCTTTCTTTCGATTTCTGTTTTAGAATCATTTCTAAACCATAACAGACAGTAGTTGTAGAAAGCAACAAAAATAGAGACAATATAATAGTTATTGGGTTGCAAGAAGTATAAAGACAGTTTCTTGGGTTGCAAGAAGTATAAAGACACTTTCTTGGGTTGCAAGAAGTATGAAAACAGTTTCTTAGGTTGCAAGAAATCAGTATAATCCATTTATGATAAGAACATTTCTGATTTTGTTCATATACCTTCTTCGATAAAAACTGAAACACCAAAATCGGTAGCCTTGAGCATTGCGGAAGCTTCATCTTTACCGGATAACAAGAAGTTTTCCGGTTTAAGGTCACGATGAATCACACCCATGAAATGACAGGTTTGTACAACTTTAACCACACATTTAATGATCTCTGCGGCTGCTTTCTCCGAGTAATGCCCTCTTTTGGTAATTTTATCAAAGAGCTCACCACCTTCACAAAGCTCCATTACAAGATGAACACTTTGTCTGTCTTCATAAGATCCTTTGATCTCCACAATGTTTGGTTGCCCTGATAAGTATTGCATTATCTGTATCTCCCTTCTTACATCTTCTCTGTCCTGTCACATCATAAATTTCTTCAAATTTAGATTCAAATTTCAAACAAAATAAACAAAGGTTTGGATGCTAATTAGAATCTTGCCTGAGTTCTGATGAGTTTTCTCTTTAGGATGGATTTACAAGCATAACTCTTGCCTGATGAGATCTCTGTACACAAATACGTTATACCGAATTGGCCACGACCCAATTCACGACCAAGACTATACTTCTCCTTAATGTCTTCAAATGGTTTTCCTAAGATTGGTTCTGGTTGTTGAAGGCTGCTCTGTTTTGGATGATTCATTAGCTTTTGCTGTTCTTGAGGCTGAGGAACTGGAAGTGGAAGTGGAAGTTTTTGAGGCGGCAGCACGATCTGAAAATTGGCTCTTGGAGTTGTTTGTCTTTGACGAGGTTGTTTTTTTTGCACTGTTTCCGTGTTCTGTAACTCTAAGTTTTGTTCACCATTGTTGTCTGGTTTTGGTTTCTTGAGCTTCTTCTTCAGATTGATGCAGAGACATCCCATATTTTGTGTATTCAAGATAGAAATTTTATGACATACGCCTTGAAAGACTTGTGAGATTTGATGAGTTTAAGGTTCATAATGACACCTAAGCACGTTATTGAATTCGTTTTCAAGTCTACATATATTGTTTTTAGATGGTTGTTTTAAAAAGTCAAATGCGAAATAAAAATGCCAACAGCTTGCATCAATTTATTACAATTTGTAGTATTATTTAAAATTCGGTATTGGAGGGAAATGCTGTTCTTATTCGTTAACAAAAATATATGTTACAGCTATTTTTGGGTATCTTTGAAAATTTCCACTGACACCAAGAAAATAAAGAGGTCAGATAATAATATCACAATACTCAAATGCTTAAAAAAACTAACAATTTGATGGGCTTTTTAAGTGGCTGACATGTTGTTATAAATGATGAATTCATTAAGAGGAAAAAGAGCTGATAAATAAAACTAGCTATATAGTATATCCCCAAACAAAATATTTTTGGGGTTTGCTTAAAGGTTTAAAAGGTTTGCTTGAATTGATAAAATATAAACAGTTTACAAAGAATCTGATAAGAACCACGAACAACAAAGATGGAAAGATCATCAACAGCAAAAAGGGAAGGGAAATTAGTTCTGCTAGTGTACCAATAGAGAAGGAACCATGCTTCGACCCGGTTTGGGTCATAGCCATGCACTCAATGTTGCAATCTAGCCGGAGAGAGAGTTAAACCTTGGTGGATACGTCGGTCATTTCACCCTTTTGGAATAAGGCGAAGGAGAGGCTTACGCTTGTAAAAGTATTTGGAAGCCAAAAGAAGTATGGCAATCCACAATATACATGTTTGCTGTGTGGTATACAAATTCCACAATTTCTAGCACAAGGTTAACCATATGTTGTATAAATATTTAAATAACTTAGTTCCTTCAACCTAGACCCTAAACCCAATAGCTTAAATCCCAAAAAAAAAAAGTTGTTAAACACTATAACTAAAACTAAAACTTGAAAATTGAGAATTGTATATGTTTTCAATTTTGAAATAATACTATATTATATTATTTATATGTAGAACTTGTGCTAGTCTATGTTTAATATAGACCAATGGCAATGTGAATGCTATGTTGTTCTACTTATCATAACCACAAAATAATCTGCCAAAAAAAAACTCAAGATAAATAAAATTTTAAATCCTAAAAAAACTTGCAAAAGGGTAAACGTTAACCCAAAACATAAGATTAAATTTTAGGAATAAATTCAAAACCCAAAAATAGTGTATTTTCTCTATTTTGAAAGAGTGAGTTTTGGTGACAAAAAAAAAGAATGAGTTTATCTGATGATTTCCATATTAAAAAAAAAAAGAATTAGAATGTAATAGTATTCTGTTCTTTATAGAACCGTTCCATATAGAACGACGAATATTCTTACTTATAATTGGTCATACATTTTTTAATGAATTTCGTGTTCGTATTAAAAAAGTTCAAACTATAGCATGAAGAAACTATGTTTTGTCCAGTAGGATCATAAGTTTCAATCAATGCTTCTGAATAAATCCCAAGCATATTAGATGAAATGGGGTGCAAAAAAGGACTTAGAGAAAGTACAAAGCATTCGTGTAATATATAGTGTATGAGTATATAGCTATTATAAATTGTGCTTTATATAGAGATTATAATAGCCAAAAAAATGTATGGTTATTTACTCAATACATAAAGGATTCTTGGTTATTCCTCCTAATATTCCCAAAAAAATATAAAAAAAATCTGAAAATAATATTGAAGAGTATATATAGGCAATTGATCAAATAATTTTATTAAAGACCTCACCTAATAAAAAAGGATTGCTGTTTAAAAAATATGTAAAACTATAAAAAAAAAATTATATTGAAATAAAATATATAGCATAAGCTTTGTTGAAACTTTAGGTGACAATGTATGAATATTGAACACTAGTGGCTCTTTGTAAAGATATTCTAGAGAATAATGTTTCATATTTTCGAATTCGGAGGTGCAGTTTGATATATTTTCCAATTTTCAAGAGAATATATGTTCCTAGAGGAAAGCAGATTAAGTAGATAATTCATAAATAAATAGACATTCTCTGATTATTCAAGCCATTAAAAATTGGAAAGTGAGTTAAGTTCTTCGAGAATCCATACCTGTAAAAGCATCAAGTCAATGAACTTGTACATTGTTTATTTTGTAAAATCATATCAAACACTAAAATATCTGAATATAACAACGAACAATAGCATTTGTTAATCTATGCATGTAAATATGTATTGAAATAGTCAAGCAATTTTAATAACCTATCTTTGATCCATTCTTTCTATAAGAGTTACCCTTCTAAAGCAGCTTTTTCTAACTTTCAGTAGTTTCACATTGGGAAAACGACTACTTCGTGACTAAAGCTACCACTGTAAAAGTATAAAATTATTTTCTCAAATACATGCTCTTTAAAAATTACAAATCAATTCAATTAAAAATTTTTAAACAAAAAATAAAATCAAATTTAGAAATTAGTGCATGGCTGCTGCTGGAACTGCCTTCAACTATGGTACCTTTTAGTCATAATAACACTTGTCAAAAAGGTTCATCTAGTTTTCTATGGACCTTTTTATGTGTTTGATCTCAGATAAGTTTTTACTCTATGTTTCATAACTAAAAGCATGGAAATTAAGATTTTTTTTTTTAAAAATATCATTTAATACATACACTAGTTAATTTGCCTTCGCAATATGTCTACTAAGTATAATTTTATAACTAAATAATTTTAAAAATATTAATTCTTTTTATTTCTGTTCTAAGTTAGACGAACCCGAAATTTACAAATAAGCTTTTGATTTTAACAAAAAAGTTAAAACATCTTTCTTAAGTATATAGATAAGAAATCAAAAATCTTATTATAGATATCATAATTAACGACATTTCATTAGATATATAGATTTCATTTATTGTTTTTTTACTTTATTCTTAGATTTTTACTAAAGTTTGGTTTTATAAAATTATAGAAATCGAAAACCTTATAAACATAAGAAATCGTAAACACTATAATAATTAGCGATATTCTAACATAAATTTTGTTTTTTTTTTGTTTTGAAACGGCATTCTAAATTATTCCAATTTTTGTTTATTTTAACATTTTAGTTAAGATTTTTTCTAAATTTCGAAAACATAAGAAATGGTAAATTTCTAGTTTTTTTATTTTAAAAAAATGTTTTTATCTTTTTTTCTAAATTTTGGTTTAATGTATATTTAAAAACGGTTTGATTGACTACGGAATTAAACATTAAACCATAATAATTTAGACCGGTTTGTTTTAAGTTTTTTGACACGTCATCAGATGAGAACCAATAAAAAAATGACATGTAACTGGAAAATAGAACCAAACGGTCTTTTTGCAGCCGAAACTCATTCTGGAGCTGACAGCGGTGAAACTCGTTGTGAGCGCGACACGTAAGCACATCACTACACAAATAAGTATATATTATAAAAAAAGCGTACAAAAGATAATTGATCAAATAGAATCCCACAAATATAAATTTGCATAAAAATATAAAAAGAGAGTATATTTAATAGAAACATGTCGGCAAAAATAAATTAAAGATCACAAGTGAAATAAACGGTGAGTAGAGCTTGGGATAAGATGAAAGATGTAAAGAGACCACAAGACACATATGAAGGATTCAAAGGGACTTTTCTTGAAAAAGGCACAAAGGGACCAAAGAGACCCAAAACATTTCTTTTGACAAATTTGCCTCTATTATATGCTTTGACGCAACACTCTCCAAACTTATGTCACGCTCTTTGGTCACTACTGTACCCTGGCCATAACTCCATTCTCTTGCATATATATACTTTCTTTTTTTGATTAAATAGGATTAACATCGAAGAGTTATAAGTCGAAGTACATATTGTTCGACTTTTGTAAAGGCTCTCACAAGCAAGAATCGAGCTAGGGGTCTACGATCAACCTCTTTTAAATAAATCCAGCTGAGCAAAATCCATTTGATCTCTTCCATGCATTATTATGTATCGATATGCGATTTAATTAGCGTAGTTTATCAAATAATTAATGGTTAGTGAAGAGTTGAATATTTATTCTCAGTTTTGAATAAATTTTGAAAAAACTATGATTATGTACTCGTGTACATTATTAACGAATAATCTCGAACGTGTAAAGATTACGAATGAAAATACGAATTAAAGTAAGACCATAATAAACTACAATAATCAATCACTCGGAACTTATGATATTATTCAATTATTGACGAATCTACTTTGTAGAAACGACTGTATGAATTATGATATGGTTTTATATCTACTGTTATACACACTACGTATAAATCATAAACATCTGCTTTACGTACATTGCATATAGATGTAACTCATTTAGTCAAAAGTAATGTTGGGTGGGATTGTGTATGTGGGGGAGTTACAAATATGTGGAAGCAAAAAAAGAAATTACCTAACAAAATTGAAGATTCTTGTTTATCTTTATCTTGTTATTATTTTTATTTTTTGAGAAAATCTTTATCTTGTTATTGGAACATTTAAAGTTTCATTTGAATTTAGTGGCTATCGAGTTTTAGGTCACTTTTCTTTATTGTAGGGATAATTGGAATATCCTAAAATGTTGTCCTAACCAAACCATGTATTGTTACTAATATACTATATGCATCTCACATTCTTATTGTTTTGCTTACTACCATTTTTAAAAACTAGTCAAATATGCTTTTAACGTTCTAGTTTTCTATAAGCGTAATAATACACTGTTGTACATTTAGTCACTTAAAATAATTTTACATACAAAGTTTTAATACATATTTGTCATGCACATTTATGTGATCTACATAATGTATTATGAATATAGTTGCAAGACCATTTTTTATAATAAATTTATTGGTATGTATTCTTTTTTCTCTCATCCTCTCATGACTAAACCCCAGGAATCCAAGTGGTCCAACAGGAATGATATTGTTTCCAAATAAAATCAATCTCTCTTAGGAAACGAGTTTACGTTTACCCCAAATTGATTAACATTTGCCTCTATGATATGGTCATGAGTGCAACACTCTAGTAATGATCAAAAGTTCAAAAAAGAAAAGAAACACTCTAGTAATTATGATCAGTAACAACTAAAAAATGATCCATTTAAGTTTTTCCTTTTCTTAAGAACCTATATAAATAATACTTATCCATTGATTCACCATCATGATTGTTGCTGATATAATTAATGACAAATAATAATATACATATATATATATATATATATATATATATATGTCTTCCCGTTGCTCGTGAGTGCCCACTTTGAAGTGGACTCTTTGGACAGTTTGCCTGTGGACATTCATTATGATTCAAGGACACATATGTTCTTGTTATTATACAAATTCCATTTCGGATAATCCTAATATCAATTAACTAAACTGATTAAACCTTAAAGAAAATTAATAATCTAACATTTACTTATAAAGAATATTTGAGCTCAACAATTAATATCTTTATTAAGTACAGTTACAGCTGACCTATGATAACCGATTTAAATATTTAAAACATTTGATGACAGCATATGATCTTTAAATCTTAAATAATCATAAACATTGAAAGGGAATACTTATCACTTACTTTTAAGGGTTACTTAACTCTAAACTAATAATTGACCATAAAATTAGATAGATAGTTAAAAATTAGGTGGTTATGAAAGAGAGAAAAAAATTATCCCATAAATATCCTTCAGTTTTATGTTAATTACGAAAATGTCATTCATCACAATATTTTTGTTTTTAAATTAAATTGATACCGTTAACAAAGTTATCGTCAATTATATTTTTATTGGTTGATCTATTCGTCACATACAATGTTCATCATTATTATTATATTATAAAAATTTGAAAATTAACGCAATTATCGTGTTAACTCAATTACCATATTAAAATAAGTTTATGTAGTTACGTGCTAACATTATATGTTAACATACTAATAATAATATCTGATATTTGTTAACATGTTAACAAAGTTAACAATAATGTTTGATATTTGTTAACATGCTAACAAAGTTAACAATAATATTTGATATTTTGTTACCATGTTATCTGATATTTATTAGCGTGTTAACAATAATATCTAATACATGTAATGTGTTAACATAATATGTTAGCTTGCTAACAATATATAAAAAATTATGTAACGTGTTAACATAATATGTTAACTTGCTAACTATAATATATAATATTTATTTTTTTGTTTTGGTGAATCCATCGTTGTTTTTCAGTTAACTTACTATGAATGTTATTTCTTAGATAAAGTTGAATCATGTAGTCATAGGGGTTAATTTTTTTGGCCGTTTCCGTTTAACCCCACCCCACTAATTCTGATAGAAACATCCAAATTGAAGATGAAAAAAACTCATCAATAAGCAGAAAAACAAGGTTTTTTTTTCTATTACATCATCAATTTTGTAAATTAATTTTTTTTCAGAGAGAGAGAAGAGGAGGAGAGAAAGATAAAGTCGAAGAAAAGGAAGGAGTAAAAGGAGAAGAGAAAGAAAAAGGAATTAATCGAGAGAAAAAAATAATAATAGAAGAGAAGAAATAGAAAGTAATTTTGTTTCTCATACTGTTGAAAATGTATCAGAATTGATCAACTTAATTATGTAGTTATCTGTTTGTACTTATTAATATTACTCTACTTTTAAATGGTTGTATTACTCTCTCTCAGTTTCTTACTAACTGTCAACTGTCGTTCTGTAAAATATATATATATATATATATATATATATATATATATATAAAAATACTCTATTTTGAGTTCTACACATATATTAAGAACTGGTTTTTACAAAATCTTATATACTCTGTACAGTTAAATATTATATTATTTCTTCTCTATTGTTTTTCTTTCTGTTGACTCTAATCAATAGGAAAGAAATAGAAAATGATATATAGCACATATTTTACAAATACAAAAATATTTATCTTTATCATTGCCTTGTAGGTGAAACTTAAACTCGTTTTCTTCAGAGTTAAACTAATTAACTTAAGACACAATTATTTTTGAATTAAATATATTTATAGACAGAACAATAATAGCATACGAGGTGTTCTGAAATCTTTGCCTCGTCGATAATAAAAGGAACGCAAAATAAAAAAAATTTCGAAAATTACAAAATTTACTTCTATTCTGCGAAAACAAGTAATTTTAATTAAAAATCTAAAAATGTTTTTAACGTATATTATTAATTACTTAGCCGTAGAACCCTGTTTGGCTCCAAATCGCGTCTCGAACGCGCCTTAGTTCCCGTCCTTTGAGAGTCTTCCCGACGCCTTCAAACACCGACGCGCCGCCGCCTCCGCCTCCCATCTTCCTGCTCCGCCGTGCTTGACTCTTCGCAAGGTACTCGTGCGGCGGCATCATCTCCGATTCCTCCTCGTCCTCGTCGTCATTGTCCAGCTCGTGTATTGACTCAACCGAGTTGACTCGGTATATCTTACTCCAGTCCGGCACGTTCACCGGCGCCGACGACGCCAATTTCCTCCGGATCTCTCCTCCTTCTCCTCCTCCTCCGTGGATCTTATGCACGATCACCGGCGATGACGACGGCGCGACAGAAGAGCCCTTGAAAGCCAGCGACAGCCCTCCCACGCGCCCGTTTTCCTCCAAGGTGGCGCGTAAGTTCCACGCGCCGTAGGAATCTTGCGTTTCGGTGTCGTGAATGACGGCCGGTGACCAGATGTCTTCTTCGGCGAGCTCTAATTCGTCGGTGATGGATGTAACGTGTCTGTCACCGTAATTGTAGCTTCCAAGGTATCGATCGCTCCGGTTCATCGTCGTCGGGTTTCGACCTCTTGCCATGTAACTCCGTCACCGCCACTAATCACTTAATTAATCACAGATTAATTCATGTTTAGTTACTTATAATTTAATTACCATTAATTCAGGAGTTCAATGTTGGAGATTTTGCTATAAGGTCTCACACTGGATGAAATGGAGGAGTATATATAGCATCTGTGAAGAGAAGAGTGCAAAAGATAGTGGTGATACAATAAAGAAAATTTAAGTATAGCACCCCGTATTTTCTATTTCTTATAACAGGCTCCCCTACATTTACTATGTAGACCTAAAACCCAAATTTATCAATTCATATCTTTTATTTTAATTTCCCAGAAAGATCACTATCTTGAATGATCTTTATAGCCACATTCAGTAAAATAATTAATGTGAATCTGTAATCCAACACGATATAATTTATAGTGGGATAATGGGGTGGTCGAAATCTTTGTTATAAGGTCATAAGAACAAATATTAAACTAAAATATCAGAAAATAGAGTAAATGAATAATCATTTATAAAATAATTTATCAGAGATATGAGAAAATCATACACATAGTAACAAAATTATTATAGTAGATAAAATTGTCGATATCTTTCTTAAAGTTTTTATTCTCTCCTTTGTATCTTCATCTTTGATGAATTATACATTTATTAAGTCATTTAATTCTCTGATTTGTTATTATTTTATGATTGATTCACCCATTACGATCTTGTTATTTGAATCAGTTCTAGTTTTGATTATGTGAGGTTGGTTGAGAAAATGGTATAAAAACTTTGTGTGGGAGGAATATGTTGTTCAATAAATGAATTCGGTCATCTTATAAAACGAATTTTAATTTCGACCATCTGTTTTGTGTTTTGGTCAAATCAAAGAAGAATCTACGTTACCTTGATATGAAGGTATAATAACATAGCAAACCTTGATATGAAGGTGAAGGACCTTTCATATAGCAATAAAAAAACGCCGGGGACTTAACGGAATTTTATTATAATACGATATATTCTTTGACTGAATTATGTGGATATGATAAAAGATCCAGTCATAACTCATAAGCCCTACATAACTCACACGTAACAGTTTAAAGATTATAAGGAGTACAAATTTGTTGTGGGAAATTAAAAGAGGAGAGAGCATAAACCTGATTTCACTCGGAACTTTTTAGAAAACAATTATTATCAACTTGCCAAATTGGAGGAAAAGTTGCACACTTTTGGTAAAAAAAAACTTCGGTCACGAGACATTTTCTCACATCAAATTTTATGTAACAAGAATTTGTATATCATATCTGATCTTTTTTCAGTTATTTAGTAGTAGTTTTAATTGGAATTATCTGTCTGGTTTACACAAAACCAACAAAAATCTACACTCTTCCACAGATAAAAGTGATAGTATACAAAATAATTTCAAGTCCAAGCTCAAATTAGGGATACTAATACTAAATCAAATATAGACATAAGCATTACAAAATTACAATGAATAATAAGAAAATTAAATTGTAGTTGGGGACTTTACTTCGATACGAAAAGATATATGGTATTATAACATTATTACTACTATTATTATTAATCATTAATCAAGAAATCATTATTATTACTATTATTAATCATTAATCAACAAATAACAAGACTTTCGTAAGTACAAGAGCTTTTAAACACGATTTTTTTTTTTTATTATCGTCTAACAACAACTATAGAATATATTCACGTGTGTATTTTTTCTCAAGTGTAACTACTTTTTTGAGGAATAATTCATGTAAACATATAATTTTTGCCAATAGCTGGTATAACATATTAACATACTTATTGGTCCATTAGGTTTTTTGTGGCTGCCTAGAAGTATATTCTAAGTTTCGTTATCACAAATAAAACAGAATCAATTGAGTCAAAAGTGATATGATGTGTAAGTTATTATTTATTTTGGTTGGTTCTAAACTTCTAATGAAGAGAATAACAAGAGAATAACAATATGAAGTTATCATTTATATGATTAAAGCCAACCATACAAACTTTTGTTCTAACAAACAATACAAACTTATGGTTAATGATGATAATATTATATTCCATCCACATAAATTTTAAGAAATCGTATGCATTTTAGAGTGAATGTATGTTTTCAGTTTTCTAAGCCTAATTAAGCCTAAGTTTTAAGAGTGAAGCGGGTATGTAGTAATCGAAGCTCGAGAAATTAACGAAATGATAAAGGATATTCGAAAATTGAATTATTAAAAAAAGTGTTGGGCTTTGTAGCCCATTTTACCCCTATCATATCTCTTGTTTGGTGGAGAGAGAGTTTGCAGAGAGCATTAAATGAAGCTGTCTGATATTATGAGCAAAAGGAATATCTGTCCTGACACAAATCTTTATCCTATCTCCCGCCGCCTGAGCATACAATCACAACCGTTGGAATAAAAACTTAGAGATTAGAGAAGTAAACTGATAATATCTTTTACCAGTGTTATCGGGGAAATGAAGTTACGCGACACTTTTTACTCCTATTTAATGACGGTTATTTGCTGCCACCGCAACTGAGAAGGGAACGAAGGTTGAGGAAAAAAACAGAGAGCAGTAAATTCGCTTCTTAGCATTTAATCAGGTCGGCGAGTAAAGATCGGCGGTAATAATTTAAGCTGCTACGTAACGACAATGACAGTTACTACCGGTAACATATATAAGTATAAACCCGAAAGATATCATAATTGTCGCTGTTTGTGATGCTAAGTCGTGTGGAAGTTAACTTTTTTATCTTGCTGTTTTATCATGATAATTTGAAGGTATGACGATGGAGGTGAGAGTTAACCGTGGGTTCTGGGTGAAGGATTCCGAGGGCAGATGGGATCATATACCCAACGTCCAACGCTTTAACTACTCAGTAACCGTGAAAGAGAGAGACAATTTCCGAAGAATAGAGCAGGCAGTGAAATTTGAGCTGCGCTTGAATCCTGGTGATGAGGTGGAGCTGACGTACCAATGGCCACAGTGGATGCTGGGGCCCGAATGGAGAAAAGCACAGCCAATCAACGTGGTCGACGATGATGACGTTGAACTATTTCTAGCCATTAGAGCTGACATCGAGGAGGTGTTCTTGCGGGCTAGGATAATACCAGCTGGAACAGAGCGGAACGTAAATTCATACTCCGTCACCGCATTAGGGAAACAACCGTCGGAACGCGGTAACAGCTCTAAGGGGGGACCTCAAATGACGAATCGGCTGACTGATCTTAATAAATGGCCGTTGCATGTTTTCCAGACAGGCGGAACAGGTTGGGTTTGTTTGTTGTATGTTAAAGTTATGTAAGGATAATTTTGTTATAATGTGTCCTAGTGTGTAATATCAGGTAACAGCATTGGTGGTATCGAAATGCGGGATATAAATCCGATTGGAGCAAACCGCCAGAGGGAAGAGAACCAGAAGAGTGGAGTTGAAGGGAACAGAGGTTGTGGTCCTTATGATACACTCCGAACTATCCCAGGTGAGAAAAAACCGGGTTATTCGTAAACTACTTAAGTATGTGGTTTTGAAGAAGTTTGATAGTTTGAAAAATTGTAAGATAATATTTTCTGCAGTTAACAACATTGCAGAGACAACCGGGAGTGTTGTATCCTCGCCTACCTCTGTTTTCGGTAACAAACATTGATACTAATTATGTCTTTTGTGGAAGACGTATTATGTGCTGTCTGCAAAGTTAACTTGTATTATTGGGTAACAGGGTTACCTTGTAGCACCCGGAGGGCCAGTGTGGAAACGCCTGCGGAGTTGGCGGAGCTGTGGCGATATTTCTGTTCAGGGGCGAGTAGTAACCCTGCCGCAGCAACCACGTCCACACACCGGGCTTATATTCCGAGTCAGTCGACGTTGATGATACGTGATATTGGAGAGCAAGAGAAGAGGAGTAAAGAATCTGCACCAGAATATCATCATGTCCGTTCAAGGACTGTTGACAACAACTTACAGTTGACATTAGCTGGAGCATTCGTTGGGAGCAAGTTACCGCAAACTAAAAATGCCATAGTAGTTGGACTTTCATCATCTTCCTCCAACTCCGGTAACATGTCGACTTCAAGCAATGAGAGCGCTGACTATGTAATTGGGCCCAACACTGCTATCTCGTTAATAGGTATAGCAAACGATAATACATTCGTAAACTACGATACAATATATGGTTTAAAGTGGAACGATAACTGTGCGGGTCTGTGTATAGGTGATAATATGGAACCCCGAGTAATTGCTGATGAAACAAACTTACCTGGGAGCTCAAATAATCCACTCACCGGGATACCAGTGTATTTCCCTAGTGAGGGGTTGCGTGACAAAGGGAAATCCATCGCAGGCGGTGAGATTGTTCCTACGGTATCATGCAGGCCTGTGATCCGAGTTGACGGAAATCCTGTAATGACTGAAGAGCCAAGGGTGACGCCAACGATGCATGAACGCGACGCACCCCCATATTTTGACGACCCGATTGGCGAAGGTATATAGCTTCTGAAACAAATATCCAGAAATACGGTTACCGTGATAATCACTTATGGATGTTAGCGTGCTAATATGGCTACGTGTGATATAGATGAGCTGGAACGAGCACTACATGATGTGAATTACGAGGGAGATGTCATCTTCGTCGGTCGCATTTTCAAAAACAAAGAAGATTGTCAAAGGAAGCTGGCTATCCACGCAATTAACCATAAATTCCATTTTCGGTACGCCAGATCCTGCCCCAATGTTATCATTGTAGTCTGCGTGGGTGACAATTGCCCCTGGCGTGTTTACGCTACGAAAATGGAGGAAAGTAGCCGGTACGAGGTTCGTTCTGCAAAACAAGAGCACACATGCAGCGTGGATGCGTGCGGGAACTTTCATCGCCAAGCTTCCACTGCGGTAATTGGTGAACTGATGCGCTCTAAATATGGAGTAGAAGGAAGGGGACCACGCGCATTTGAACTGCGGCGTCTGTGCAGACAGGAATTTAGCCTCCACATCAGCTATTGGAAAGCGTGGAGAGCTAGGGAGATTGCGATGGACAAAGCCTTGGGTTCAGCTATGGGGAGCTATGCTTTGGTTCCAACTTATTTCAAGTTACTGAAACAAGCAAACCCAAACTCTGTTACGGGTCTAAAAACAGAGGTAGATAACACTGGTGTGGAGCGCTTTAAATATCTGTTTTTCTTGTTGGATGCCAGTGCGAGGGGGTACCAATACATGCGCAAAGTCGTCGTCATAGACAGCACACATCTCCGTAATCGTTATGGAGGTTGTCTAGTTGCCGCGAGTTGTCAGGACGGCAATTTTCAGATATTCCCAATAGGGTTTGCGATAGTTAATAGCGAAAATGACGAGGCATGGGAATGGTTTTTAGAGAAACTTACTGAGATAGTGCCAGACGAACCGGAGTTGGTGTTCGTCTCAGACCGCCACTCGTCAATTTACTCTGCCATTCGCAAGGTACGATATTCAACCACAAATAATCTGAAGTGTAACACGTTCTCATAGATAATGTAGTTGACTGCGAACACAAAAGTTTATAGATTTTTTTCTGCAAACCCGAAAGCTAATAATACTTTAGTTAGCGTGTTAATTGTTGACTACAACATTGTTATCAGCTAGTATATAATGCAGTTGTCTGCTAATCTGAGTTAACTGCTATCCATGTTTTGTTGCTTGTCTCTAGGTTTACCCGATGTCTTCTCACGCTGCATGCATAGTTCATTTATAACGAAATGTGGTCGCCCACTTTAAATCTGATACATTGAGCTACATGACCTCCCAAGCAGCACGAGCTTATCGCCTAAGTGAATTTGACAAGTTATTCAGCGAGATTCGGGCGATCGATGGAGAGTGCGCTGATTACCTAAAAGACGTCGGATTCGAACATTGGACACGATCCCACTTCGTGGGGGAACGATACAACGTCATGACGAGTAACATCTCGGAATCCCTCAACAAAGTGCTAACAATGGCCCGCGATTTCCCCGTCATTTCCATCCTAGAATCAATCCGTACAACAGTGGTAACGTGGTTTGCACTCAGACGTGAAGCAGCTAACTCAGACACAGATGTAATCAACCCAAAGGTTAAGGAGATGGTGATTAAAAATTTCAATAGATCGTCTGGGTATTTTGTTATGAAAATCGGCGATGGAATATATGAGGTCCGTGATGCGACGGACGTCTCTTACGCTGTTCATCTGTGGGAACAATCGTGTACCTGCAGAGAGTTTCAGTTACTTGCCATTCCATGCGAACATGCTGTAGCGGCTGCTATTCGGGAGGGGGTCCGAGTTGAAACTCTGGTTGGCGTCCATTACACTGTTGAGTATCGCAAGAAGGCATACGAGGGCCTAATCATGCCTGTTCCAGACATGGACACTTTGGAACGTGTAGCTGGTGAAGATGGGGCTGTCAAGATGGGTCCGCCTAAGGTTCGCAGACCTCCAGGACGCCCGAAAAAAAGTCGCATCTTCTCGAAAGGGGAGTTCAAGGTAAAGAGTGGTAATACCATTTTCAGTTACATACTTGAGGATTTTGTTTACCAGCAGTGTGACCATCCTTCCCGTTGCAGCGTGTGAACAGGCGCAGATGCACCCGATGCCGTGGTCTAGGACATAATCGATCAAGCTGTAAAGGTCCAATACCGGTAAGAATGAGTTATTTATAAGTTCGTTGGATCAACGTCTTTAAATACCAATAAACTTCAAATGTAGGAACCTTGAAGAGGGGATTGGTCTGGACGGAGGAAAGCAAAAGGAACCCGTGTGAGATAAATAATGTCGTTGTTAGCTAAGTTTGTTTCCGTGATCTCATTTTGTTGTATTATAAAGACGATCACTTTTGTTTCGGCGGTACGTCTGAACTAGGTTTGAACCAGCCCCTCGTCGCATTTGTATTTGCATTTGGGTCCAGTTGCAAACAGAGTTTAGCTCCATGTCGTTAGTTTTGGGTAAGGATAGTGAACCACTGTGAAAACCATGTAATGTATCCCTACTTGTGTAATATATGAATGTTAGGATGTATTTGTGTTACCACTAATTTCGTTAGCACGAGACCTATTCGTATCTAGCTAGTAATGATAACTAAATATAGCATATAATCAAGTTATCAGATAGATATGTTGGACAACAACTAGATGGTTAACTTTGCTGGTGGGTAATATATGTTTGATTTAACATATAACTACTTTATCAGATAGAACAGGTCCCGCCACTAACCACGTTATTGGACAAAAACAACTTAGAGGATCGAGTGTTGTTGTTGTACTTGAACACAGAGAACTGTGGATGTAGTGTTATTGCAGTAAGTTAGGAGAGTTGAAAAAATCGACACCATCGAACATCAAGGACAGGATAAAATCCAATTTACGAGAAAACAGAAAGGAAATGTAGTGTAGAGATGGGTTAACATATCTACTTGATAATGATAATTAATATAGCATACAACCAAGTTATCAGATATATATGTTGGACGAGAACTAGATGGTTAACTTCTAAGAGGGTAATATATGTTTGATTTTACATACAACTACTTTACCAGATAGACCTGGTACCGCCACTAACAAATTGGTTGGACAAAAAAAACATAGGGGGTCGAGTATTGTTAGAGGTACTTAGAAGAACCAAGTATAAATTAGCATCGAACAACAAACACAGCGGATAACAGAATTTTTGAGAAAACACAAATAAAGTTAAACAAAGCTAACACCGTCGAGAGTAGAAAAGGAGAACAAGAAACATAACATAATCTGATAACAGAGTTTCCCAGAGCAAATCAAATAGAGTACTGTTTGACCAATGCTGTTATGAACCTCTTAAGCTCCGTCTCGAACGAACTCAGGTCAAAAGCCCTTGCAGCTTCGACGCCACCGAGTGCATGAGACTGAAGAAGGAAGACAGAGCACATGCCAGCGTCGGGGGTGGATGAAATTTGAGGAAGCCCAGTTAGACGTTCGATGGTGAATGGAGTTAGGTTGATCTGGCTCATCTCTGGGTTGTGTGAAACCTGTTGGAAAAGGTAAGGAAGCATTGTTGCAATAGGTTGAAGATCGCTCACGATTCTATGGTCCGGCTTGAGACTGACGTTGCAATCCAGCACTCCGATCTTCTTTTCAACCAAATCCACCGCAAGGGACACCCAATGGCGCTGGTCAAAGTTGAAGGGTAGGTATATGATATCTGCTTCGGCATAGAGTTCCACCCGATCTGGCTCATCCTTCCCAGTTAAAAGATCCACAACAGCTCTGTTGAAACGAAATTCTTCCCAGTTTTCGCACTTAGAGAACCTAGGATAGAGTTTGGTGAGCTGCGACACAAACTTGGAGTCCAGAATATCAACTCTTAGTCTGACGCCATCTTCAACATCCTTACGCAGCATGTGCCGTGAAAATTTTAGTACAGCATCCATAACCTGTAAAATAATTTACACGATAATTAAGTTAACTCGATAAGGATAGTGACAACACTGCGTTTAGCCTGCCGTTTGAGATACTTACCTTAGCTGGTGGGCTTTTCTTCCTTTCAAGCAAATCCGCTAACTCCCTTGCGGATAAAGATATACAATTCCCTAGGCTAATTGCCCTGCAGATCAATGAACATATAAGTATACGCGTGTGGACACCATACCCAAATCAGGTTGCATGATCTACCTTTTTACGCTGTTGATAGCGTTTTGGACCTTTTCGTCTAGTCTCCGCATCTTATCCAAGTCTGACTCCTTCTCATGGCCTATGCGTGTCTTCAATCGTTTACCACACTCAAAACGCTCATCTAGCCGAGAAGATGTCATCCTAGGACGTTTGCTTTTCCTTGTGACCTGGTTAGGTCAGGGTTGTTAACAATGTTTTCATCACCCTAGATAGAAGATACAAAATTTAACACATAATTCAGCCCTCGTACTGGTTTGCTATATATAACCTATATCCAGATGATTGTAACTTACGCCAGGTGCGTCGGCGACGTTTATCTGTGAACGAGTTATAGCCTCCGGGCAATCATCATCAGGGATTGGAGATGCAACCTACTCGGGTTATTAAAAAAATACATATAATGGTTGCATGTACAAAATGACTGCAATTTAAAACACGTAAACACTAGAATGATCACAGTACGAACCGGGACATGTTGGCCCAATGGATTAGCTTGGTGAGCAACATTGGAATGGACATCTTCTTCCTGCGAATCAGGTCGGGCATATAAAAAAAGAAATTTTGTTAACAAAATGCGAGTGTATCTGAGTGTGGTGATAACCATTGTTAATAGAAAGCGAGGGTTGTTAGGTAATGATATTAGTCATGAAAAGTTTGAAATAAGTACATACCACTACAGGGGCTGGGGTAGACCGATTGGTAGGCTCGTTTTCATCGACGACTTCCATTTGGTCCTGGTCCGAGTGAAAAAATTCGTGGGAATAACACATCACATATACAGTTGCAGGGTAACCATGATTATTTGTAAATAAGCTGATTACCTTATCGCCTTCATACTTCTCGCCGGGTAAGTTAGAGCCATCCCCCATAGGTGTTTTGGACCGGTTTAGCGGCTGAGAGTCAATGGCTTCCCCCTGCTTACAACCAGAAGGGGTAAATTTTGAGCGAAAAATGGTATATTCCAAAATGTATTTCGGGTTATCTGCACCCTGACATATCTATTAACTATATGTCAGGGTATAACACATCACATATACAGTTGCAGGGTAACCATGATTATTTGTAAATAAGCTGATTACCTTATCGCCTTCATACTTCTCGCCGGGTAAGTTAGAGCCATCCCCCATAGGTGTTTTGGACCGGTTTAGCGGCTGAGAGTCAATGGCTTCCCCCTGCTTACAACCAGAAGGGGTGGAATTACAGCTGGTTTGCACCCACCCAAAAACATCTCGCCCTTGAACTGAAAACCTTCGTCAATGAGTTTCAACATCTCATCAACCTTCGGATCGATAGGATCGTCCGCCCAGCTAAGGTCCTCTTCCTCATCGAATACTAGATCCGGACGAATGACGAAGTGGACAGTGTCCTGCAACGAATTAAGATCGGGGTTACCTCTATAGTCAGCTAAGTACCCATGAGGAGGAAAGCGACGTTATCGGTTAACTCTGTTGTACATGACTAACAATCCGATAACTAAATTGCACGAAAATTAAGTAGACAGATATTCTTATTACCATCTACCTAAACGTCGTCAGTTGTCTGTTAACTTTGTTTATATGACAAATTAAGTGCTGCTAACTCTATTAACCTCTAAAAAGATAGTTAACCCATTTGCTATGTAATTAACTGTTAACTACGTTAACGAAGTTCATTTGTACCTTTTCCGCTTCGTCGATGTCGCGTGCGTGACTTAACTTTAATTGGAGGACCTGTCGCTGTTGGGGGAGGAAGTCATCTTCATCATCCACTTCGGCGGAGACAGACTGGTTCAGACTATCTGCAAGCGATGGGACAGCTTCCAAAACAACAAACTGAAGAGCTGCAAACAGACCTTGGATCGCTACATTCGCGTTCACTAGCTTCGATGGTTCCCTCTCTTTAATGGAAGATATCATCATGTCAAATGAAAGCCGACCCCATGGGTACTCAACAAATGAGACCAGATCCTCCGTCATTTCTGCATGTTCCTTTACCACTTTTACTCGTGGGTAATGAACAGTTGGTAGGAGAATTCCGTCAACGAGGACAAGACACGCCATTTTTATGCAGACTTGTTTATCCAGATCTCGCCGGCGTTTGAGAATCGCGATAACTCTCTCGATAGTAACATCGTCTTTTCCATCAAAGAGTTTGGCGTAATTTGGGTATGTCGAAGACTTCCGTTTTCTCGCTTCGGTCAAAGGCAGCCTCCCGCAGTTCAAACCAGTAACGATTTTGAATTCGCGGAGAGAGAATCTAATCGGACGTCCCGCAAAAACGAACCAAATCTCGTTCTTCCGATCAACTTCGAGTTGTCGCGAGAGTAAAAACAACCCAAACGTACCTGACCAAGCCGGTTTGGAAGGTATCTCAAGTAGCATCCCCAGAGGGGACTCCCGGATAAAGTCGATTTCCGATTCATTAAGCGCCGCTACGAGATCTGAAATGATGCTAAATTTTTGGTAAGTTATCACTCGCTGACCCCAGGGCTCATCTCCAGCCGATATGATTCGCTTCGGGAGATTGGCGGAAATAGGTTTGAAAAGAGGACTGATAGAGAAATTTCTACACTTCGACGGTTCTCGAGAATGAAAAAGGATGGAACCCCCACGAAAATAGAGAAAATAGGGAAGGGCAGACGATGAGGAGTCCGATAAACGGAATAATGGTCTGTTAACCCTATTCTTCGATATTTTTTTTTTCGTGGGTATAACAAAAATAGGGAAGGGCAGACGATGAGGAGTCCGATAAACGGAATAATGGTCTGTTAACCTTATTCTTCGATATTTTTTTTTCGTGGGTATAACAAAGAAGTCCAAATCTATTCAAATGATATTCTTGTCGGTTCTAACACACGCTAGCATGTAGGAGAAATTCCACGCGCTTGAAGTTCGTAGGGATTACTCGGTCTTTTCGCCCTGTACGAGTGTGTAGGGTCGAGTCTTAAAAGGTACCTCTTAATTCCACGAACTTTACATACCCTTTATTGCAATTTCTCAAGTTAATAAGCATAAGCCTATATGTTTGTATTAATGGAAATAACTGAATAAACAAAAGCAAGAGTCGATCCACTTGTAAAATTCAGCGACGTACTTAGTACAAAGGAAGGGTCCCACTGTTGTCACAATGAACGGCTGAGAGTGAGAGACAGAGAATCAGACAGGTTTAGTAAATAGCAGTTAATTAACTTTGTAGCTTACACATATTTTTGGAAAGATTTTGTTATTATTTTAGTAGTAAATTAAGCGCTCTCCTTTCATAATAATGTAAGTAATAGTTTTGATATTTTCTCAAAAATTTAATCAAGTATATTTAAAATTTAATCGTATCCTTAAAGATACAAAACACTTATTATGAAAGAAGAAAATGTATTTAACTATATTTATCATGAAACTGGGAGTAAATTATACTCCCTCCGTTTCACAAAGAGTGTCGTTCTGACACTTTTTTGTTTCAAAAAGAATATCGTTTTAGAATTCCAATGTAATTTTTAACATAAAATATTATTTTTAACCTCAATAAATTCAGAAAATTAATTATAAATATAATTCCAAGAGTCATTTTCTGCAAATTAATAAGGGTATAAGAGACTTTTTATCTTATTTCTTAATTTGTGTGAAAAATGTTAGAATAACACTCTTTGTGAAACAGAGGGAGTATAAACTTTGTAGGAAATATTTTATTAGTTTTTCATTCATTTTCTTATATGTTTACTAAGGGTGTACTTTTTAATGAGATTTTTGGTGTCAGTGTACTTGTCTATTTGTGAGATGAAACGGTCAGTGTGTTGTAATCACCCAGTGTCACACAATAATACGTCCCACCATCTCGAGGGAATTTAGCATTCATTTATATTTTTCATCCTCATAGTTCTTGGTTGTATATTTATTTATATGTTCAAGATTTTTCTACATACTAAATTACTAATCGGGCATTAGAGGGGGTTTAACAAAGATTTTTCTTTTTATTTTATCTATTTAGATATATATATATATATATATATATTTAATATTTCTTACAAGAACGAAATCAAACTTAAAATCCAATACACCAAACCAAAGAACCAAAAATATTAAACTAAACGAAACAAACTAAGAGCGGAATCAACTTTTATTTACTTCATCGATATAGTTGAGTCTCTCCATTTTCTTATTGCTTTATTTCTATTCATTATTCGTCGTAGTTTAATTAAAGTACAAAGGTGGGTGCACCTAATAAAAATATACCACCTCTTCTATATAAAAGTCTTAAGTGACCTACAAACAAAAATATATGAATGTTTTGATAAATTTTTTATTTTAAGGTCAATAATATTACCATCATGAGTGACCTATACACATAATTGAATACATTTGTTTTCTCATGCAACTTAATAATCTAATGTCTAACTATATAAAGTGAGAACAGAGAACACCGTATGACAATAATAAAGTACTTTCTGCAGACACGAATCCTTTATTAGTTTACAATGTTAGTTAGTATAGATGGCCAAAAAGCTCACTAATCCCACCATGTTGGTTCAATGAATGAATAATTCCTTTAATGATTGCAACTTAAATGAAATTTTGTTATTAAATAACGAATCTTAATTACTACTATGTAATTAACTACACTCATTCACCATGAAAAACAGAAACAAAAACGCCAAATCATATAACAAAACTATCTAACTCTTTTCAAACTAAAATTCAAAGAAAATTCATTATAAACCTGTGATATGCTTACGGCTTACCATTCTCAAGAGCCGTAGCCCTAATTTTCGTTTGTTTAATGGTTACTAGTACTGAAAATGTTATGATTTATATAGGAAAATTTATGATTTATATAGGACTGTTTTTGTAATGTATCGACAAACCGAAATAGAAATCGGACTTAAAGAGATTATAATATCAAGGAACAGTCGAGACATGAATATCAAATGATAGTAGATTGAAATAGACAAAACCACATAGTGAGGTAGATGTAGGTACGAATCCGATCCACGGTTTCAGAGGTAGGCGAGCTCAAATGGTTATCTTTTTAACCTATAAATATTGAGTTTATGATCACACGGTTATTTGGAGTTGGAGCTAAACTTCTTCTACACATGATATAATAAGACGTACTGACATGGTCAGCCAAATTTATCCACTAATTAGCGAATCAGTACAAAAATTTAATGGTTCGTTTCAGTTGAACAAAGTATTTTGAAACAGAAGTCTCAGGTGAACAAAGTTTTACTTTATCTGTTTTTTGAACGCTTTTCTTAAATTATGTTTAATCTATCATCATCGTGTTAGACGAAACTAAAGCTAAAAACTCAAAAAGTATTGTTGATTGTATATATGTGTAATTTTTCGTTTTATTACTTTAACATTGAATCGACATATAAATATAATTGGGAATAGTCTGAATTGATTATTAAGAAATGTAAAGAGAAAAAATGATTAGCCATGTGCAAAGCCGGCCGGCCAAAATTGGATCTGTAGATTCCATCGATCATTAGCCAACCATATATCAAACAAGCAAACTTTTTGATTACAAAATAAGTAATTTAATTTTCTAAATTGATAAGAAGACATAAAGAAAAAAAAAAGAAGAAGACATCCAACAAAGTTGGAATCCTCTTGAGACCGATCGGTATTGTCAAAAAATTTATTTCTCCGTATCATATTGACGACATTTTTGATCGTGAAAACATTTAAAAAAAGGCTCTATATTGATTCGCAAGGGCACTAGATATGATTATTGTTAACTAATATTGACTAAAACCTGGCCTAAGGATTTTAGTTTAATGATCCATCATATATACAAGTCATATCCCTTGGTATTATTAGGAGAGTAATGAATTTGTCGGACTTGGAGAAGGTCTGAAATTTTTATTGGAGTGTTAAGGTTTGAGGGGTTTTCTCCTCCAGCCATCAGCCCAAATATTCTTTGTTTTATCATAATTTGTCTAACTTTTTTTTCATGCTCTTATTATTTTTATTTTTTTTGTGCAACTCTCAAATAATTATCTTATTCTTTGTTTTACCAGATTATCACAAAAGTCATAAAAGCCCAAAAATACCACAAAAGTTAGTCATATTTTCTGTTGAGATTATAGATAAAAATTACCTCAAACTTGCATATACGATCACTCACTAAATATCACATAACTAAAAAGAGTTGAAGGAAAACAAGATACACACAAATAACGAGTTCATTGGTATCTTCCACCGTTTGTTACTATGTTTCCTACCGGAAAGGCTGAAAAATAATATTGTTGTCTACTTGACATAAAAGACTGTTTTGAATTTTCTACACAGAACAAAACACCAAGATGACAAAAGACTAAACCCGAGTCCGACTAATGTTAAACCGAACCAAAAATACAAAAACCAAAATAAAACTGAAACTAATTAACCCACATTGACTAAACGTAGAAACTCTTTATAAATCTAAAATTTCGTAATATTTGTGGAACTTTTCTAAATGATTGGTGTATTTCGGATGTATAATATTTTAAGATATTTCTTACAAAAGAATGGACGAGATTGGAGCCTGGACGAAAATAGGTTTTATGGAATGGGACGGGTCTGAATTGTCTCACCGTTGGTATGTCAGCACTTTTACTCTTTGGTGTATGAAAATGCATGTCGTTATTTTGTTGTTGTTGTATTAAGACTTAAGAGCATGATGCATCATACTGTACTATCTAAAATCAATTGCTCAAATTTTGAAGAATTGTATCGCTATTTTACGCAATAAGATTCATTTTTAAAACAACCTTTTTTCTTAGAACGTAGTATAGAAGATTGAAGAATCCTTCCTAGCTATTATAAAAGATCGGCCAACCAGATCTTGACGGTGTTTTATTATTTTAACAAAATAATATATAAAAACATAAAACAATTCCTTTTTTAGATTCATAAATGAAATGTCAATGTTATGTTATTGATCCAGTTTATAATTTCATTCAAATAGCTCATGAGATTTAAAGGTGAAAAAAAAATTAGTAACTGCTAAAACTAAATTTAATAAACCAGAAAAAAGGATGACAAGATCTTAGCTCACTCACAACCTTACATGTCTGTGTAGGTCTGAAAAAGAATCAGAATCTCAACTGCCATAACACAATCCAATCATTCTAAAAGACAAACTAAATAGCACAATGCGATTATTTATGTTTTTCCTCGGAATATTGATATATATTATTATTATTTTTTTCTGAAAATTCTATATAACTCCAACCATTAGCATTAGAAGACAAGACCAAGAGAATATCGAATCTATATGCATGTTTTCAAATTGATTTAGGGTTCCCATTCTTTGGTTGTCACATAATACTCTTCATATAAACTTTTCCAACGACATTTATTAAAATAAAACAATCAGAATTCTCCAAAGCGGACTAAACCTCATAAAACCTAATTACAAATCTAGTTCGGTTATGTTTCTACAGAAACTTGCTATCAACCGGAAATCAGATAATTTTTTACTTTATTACAACAAATGCTATTCTTTATGGATTAACTGAATTTACAGGTCCGGCCATGGGTTTAAGCTCAACAAATTATCGTTTTAGACACCATAATATACTAACAAATTTAAGAGCATTTTTTTTGGTAAATTGGTTGTGGTGCAGTGGTTGTTTCTATTACCAATACTTTTGAAGACTCCATCTTAAACTTTCACTCTTATATATATATTTTTTAAATGTTTATCAATAGGCCAACAAAAACTTATTTGTTTTAAGCCTAAAACACTTTGGATTGGCCCTGAATTGAAATTGCATTTTAGATTTTTACTTGTGCTGCTAAACACTATGGTACATAAATGTTTACAAACGAAAAAAACGACAAAAAGAGTTAAGAGATATGTTACCACTCTGATTTTCATGAACTGAGTTGTTTTAATTTTTTTTGTCCAATTCACAACAGGAAAAACACGTTGTTTTGGTCTGCACAATTAAAAAAAAAAATTGAATAAATTCATAACAAATAGAAAAATGATATCATTTTAAGTGTTTTAGACTCAGATTGGCAAATAAACTTCTAAAACTGACAGCTTTCTCTCTCTATTTTTTCACGTAATCTACACTTAAGTTTTAAAAGCCTAAAAATGTGACTTTTTTATTTCTTAAAGTCACAGCCATTATTTTACAGCCAAAATTCTTTACAGCAACAGTCAAAAATTAAAATTAAGAGCCACAGTGCTTCTCAATCAGACCCTTAGACTATCAGTTTGTGACTTACCATGTGTCGTCCTCGTCAACAACTGTTAATGGTAAAATTAACGTCAATTGTGGATCAAGTAGAATCGACCATATTTATTTGGTTCATATAATGAATTCAAAATTTTATTGAGTTTATGTAATTTTTGGCATTACACAGTCTTTCCCAGATCTTTCCAGATCTTCACATTTTTAATTACAATATGGGCCTTCTACATTAACAATAGAAATATGGGGCCTTCTAAGCCCGTTAATAGTCCATATAACCCCATCATTATGCTCTGGATACCGCAGGCCTACTTTACCTTCTTCACACTTGCTCTAATCTCCAGAAGCAGCAAGCACGGTTCCAGTCACGTGCCGTACCCTACGCCTTAAGCACAGTCACGTGCCATTAGTGTTCCATTTCTTCAGCACAACGAAACTCATAAAGTAAAAAAATCATGAAAGCAATCGTAAAACATTTGTGACCTATCCTTGGAAATATTCCCACTTGATTAGGCTTGTAACCTAAATCCACTCTACAATAATCGTGTATGACTTTTGTGACTTTATCCAACTATACAGGTGGATTAAACCGTCCGAAATTAACACGAAAACATTTCATTCACTAATTCACATTTGCACTTTAAGGTAGTGGACCAAAAGGTCTAAAAATGTTTTGCACCAAACATTAAAAATTATGGGTTACAAACTAGTTGTTAGTGGTTACATTTTATTTAACTAGGAAAATCTCAGACTGAAACCCAATCTAATCTTGTAAGACCCATAAAATTCTGGATTTTCTTGCCTCTAAAAACGTCTCTACATGTAACCAAAGATGACTGAAATCAAAATAGAAGGATTTAAACTCTATCTAAACAGGGTTTAAAGTGGACATTTCAACCATTAGAACATCATCACCTAGTTAAATTATATTAGTTGTTTCATGCTTCTTTGTTGTTACATGCCTCCTTTTTTTTTCAGCAATGACTTATTTAACAATATATCTAGTTGACATAAATACCATCACAATAATGGCCTTAATATATCTCACATATCTTTCATGTTCCAAGTCACGAAGTTATAAATGCGATCCAATACTCTTACAAAAATCAGTTTGGACCGGGCTAAACCAATAGTTTTTTTTAATAACAGCTACAAATGGTTTGGTCTTGTTTATTAACAGCTACAATTTATCGGTACGATGAACATTTTAATGGAGCAGAAGAAATAGTAGAGTAGACTAGTAGGTACGAGAAAGCAAGTAAAGGATCATATCCGGTTAATCAATTTAACCATCAAACCAATCTCCAGATTAGGCTAAGATTCCGGTTTATTGTTTCACTATGTGGAGAGAAAGATTAGATTTTTAGAGGTAGAGTGAGAGAGAGAGAAAAAGGTGGGAATTTAATGGAGAGAGTAGTAATAAATGCGCTTAAGCGCTCCCTTCTCTTCTCCCACAACAGACTGTGTTCATTGCTTGTGGGGTCTCTCTCTCTCCTCTGTGAAGACGAAGACAGCTGTTTTTTTTTCTTCAGTTTCTACTTTCTTTGTGTCTATCTTCTCTACCAAGATTTTGTGTGTAGGAATCGCAGAGAAGCGTTCTTTCTCTTCTTCCTCTTTGATTTCTCGGACTTTCACTTAGTGGGAAAAAGACAGAATCTCCTAAAAAAGTCCACAGTTGTGTCCAAACTCCAAAGCTTTGAAAGAGACCATAAAAACAGTCTCTTTCTCTCTCTATCTTACTGTTGATTGTTCAAAGTATTGTTTTTTGGGGCTCGAAAATGACGAGAAGGGCGGAATTCGAGCTCGGATTCTTCGTGGTTCTTCAATTCATGTTTCTGTTATCTCTATGTGAGTTTTGATTCTCTTGTTTACTTTCTCTAATTGGCGTTTTAAGGGAAAAGGGTTATGATTTATCTGTTTTCTAAATTGTGTGTTTCTATTTTGATGGGTTTGGTTTTTGATAGATTTATTGTTTGTTTTGTTGCTGAGAAACCGAATCAGATTTTCCTTGTTTAGGAACAATCTACTTGCTTACTGTTCTGTAATGGGTCATTGTAAATTAAACCTCTTTCTGTAGAAATTAAACGAATTTTCATGTAAAATGTTGAATTAAGCTGTATGTGCTTCATAGAGTCTCTAAATCCTTCGGAGAAATTCTTCATAGATGTTTATTGTGATGGGTCATTGTAAATTTACCCTCTTTATGTAGAAATGAAGTGAATTTCTGGTGAAAGTGTTGGACTAAGCTTGAGTTTAGGAGCTTCATACTGTTTAGATTTACTTTGATTAGGCTCATAGATACTGTAAGAGAGATTTTAGTTTTACCAACACAAACTCTATATTAAAAGTGTGATGATGGTTGTTTTTTTTTTGGTTTTAGGTTCAGCTGAGAAACCTGAAGAGTTCTTACCTCAGATATCACCAGATACTTCTCCTCAACCATTTCTTCCCTTCATTGCACCTTCTCCAATGGTTCCATACATAAACAGTTCCATTCCAAAACTTTCCGGTATGTTCTTGTTTTAGCCTGGTTACATTTCTCTATTGTAAGTGCCTATATGTAAAGAAATTTTATACTAACCAGTATCACTTTTTCTGGTTTGGTCATCTTCAGGGCTTTGCTCGCTTAATTTCACTGCTTCCGAGAGTTTGATTCAGACAACTTCACACAACTGCTGGACTGTCTTTGCTCCATTATTAGCCAATGTGATGTGTTGTCCTCAGCTAGATGCTACACTGACCATAATTCTCGGGAAAGCGAGCAAAGAAACCGGTCTGCTTGCCTTAAACAGAACCCAGTCTAAGCACTGTCTTTCGGATATTGAGCAAATCTTGGCAGGCAAAGGCGCTTCAAGCCAGCTCTGGAGAATATGTTCAATTCACTCGTGGAATCTCACGTCTTCTTCATGCCCTGTAATCAATGTCGATGAGTTTGAAACCACAGTGGATACATCAAAGCTTCTTTTGGCTTGTGAAAAAGTCGATCCTGTGAAGGAATGTTGTGAACAGGCTTGCCAGAACGCGATACTCGATGCAGCTACGAATCTAACTCTAAAAGCATCTGAAACTTTAGCAGATAACTCGGATAGGATCAATGATTGCAAGAACATAGTTCACCGCTGGCTCGCTACTAAACTTGAACCTTCTCGGGCTAAGGAAACTCTCAGACGATTAGCAAACTGCAAAATCAACAAAGGTAAAAACAAATTCCGGTTTTAACGTTTTAACTTTCGATTTTTTGGTGAAAGTTTCACATTTTCTTTTGTGTCTATTTGGTTTCAGTTTGTCCTCTTGTCTTTCCTCACATGAGACACATCGGTGGAAACTGCAGCAATGAGTTGAGTAACCAAACGGGTTGTTGCCGTGCAATGGAGAGTTACGTGTCTCATTTACAAAAGCAAACACTTATAACTAATTTGCAAGCTTTGGATTGCGCAACTTCCCTCGGGACAAAGCTACAGAAGCTAAACATCACTAAAAACATCTTCAGCGTTTGTCATATAAGTCTCAAGGACTTCTCTCTTCAAGGTTGTTACTTTCTAATTTTTCTTTTCATCATTCCTTGGATTTCAATATAAGTCTCTAACCCATTTTGTTTATTTTCTGTGCTTGATAATGCATTGTGGTTGGATTCAAACAGTTGGAAACCAAGGTTTGAATAGATTTTCTCAATTTTGATTTATATTTATCATGTCAAAAATCATACTAACTTTAAGACTTTGTTCTTCTTCTTGGTTTAAAGAATCTGGTTGTCTATTACCAAGCTTACCATCCGATGCGATATTCGACAAAGACTCAGGAATAAGCTTCACTTGTGACCTTAATGACAACATTCCAGCTCCATGGCCTTCTTCTTCACTGTCCTCAGCATCTACCTGTAAAAAACGTGCGTGGTTATCATCCTATTTTGCTTCTCGATTTCCAACATTTTCCTCTCTGTTTTGCTTAACTTTGGACTCAGGTTTTTACATTCTCTTTTGCAGCTGTTAGAATCCCGGCTCTTCCAGCTGCTGCATCCTCGCAACCTGGTAAGTTTTTCATTCGTCTCACATTACGCAAAAACAAAACTTTATTGGCTAGTTCGTTCGACAGTATCTGAAATGTGTGTATTCTCGTTGTGATCTCTCAGGTCTCTACAATGAAGGAGTGACGCGTTTGGTGATCTTTGTATTGTCTGTGGTTCTTGGGATGCTTCTGTCATAGTACCAGAACTAAACCGGATCAAGTCTTGTATCAGACCGGTTTACTAGTCAATTAGCTGTGTTTTGTAGATCAAACCGGTACATTTGCTGCGGAAATTCGTATGTTGACATGACCGGTTCAAGTGATTGCGTTGTTGAGGTTTAAGTTTCGGAAAGTCTTTTTTATCTTTTATTGATTCATGATTCTTGGAAACCTTTTTTAATGTAAAGAAAAAGGTCTTGTAGGGTTTATTATTATATTTAAGCTTATATAATGTGTTTCTTTTCTCTACATTGTAATTTTTTATTTATCTTATAGACTTTTCGATTTCAGAAATCAAAAGTGGTACTTCAATAATTTATATGCAAAATTCAGTGTTCTAAGAACTTGTTTATGCAGCTGTTTAAATGTTTAGTAATTCTTAGGCTGTTAAGAGTAGTTTTATCAGAATTTTTGTTTCATATGACATGTGAAAACAAAAAAATCAAGTTTCTATGTTAGAGCATCTGCAATGGTTGCTTCTATATTTTACTCTAAAAATAGAGTTCTCTATAAATAGAGAAAGGATTTACTGCAATGGTTGCTTCTATATTTGACTGTAAATCTTATTATTAATTGCTTACAAGTTCTTTTACTTTTAAATGTTTTAAAAATTTTCTATTTATTTTAGTTTTAACAATAATTTAACATAATTATATTTTAAATTTTTTTATTTATTATATTTTGTTGTTTTATTTTAAACTTTCAAATGATTATATAACTAATTATTATTAAAATAGTTTAATTAAGTATAATATTATGTGGTATCTTATTGTTTAAGTGTCAAATAAAAAAATATGAAAGTTTAAGGATTGTTTTGTAAATAAAAAAGTTTTACTCTATAAATAGAGAAATGAACAGTATTTCTCTAAATATAAAGATATACTGTTCATTTCTCTATTTATAGAGTAAGATATAGAGTACCAATGCAGATGATTTTACTCTAAAAATAGAGTTTAGAGGCAGAAATAGAGTACCATTGCAGATGCTCTTAAGCTGCATATTTTGATCTAGATTTCCATATTTAAAGTTTTTGTTTAATCCATCTAATCCGAGACAAACGAAACGAGTTACAAACTTAAAAGGGTATAATCTAATTTATGATTTTGTAAAATACTTTAGCAAAAAAATCACTTATTATTTCCATAATATATGGTTAATGCCTTCATGGTCTGGCTGGCTGATAATTCCAATATAAGAACATTTCTGGAGGATTATCTCCATAATATATCCGGTTTAAGATACTATGTAATCCGGTATAAGACAATACAGGCATTGTCCGGTATAAGATAATATGTAATTACCAAAACGTCAAGTAATACAGATGATTGATTAAATCAAAATCGCTTTCACATTTACCTATCTATCATTATATCTGCAAGTCTGCAACAAATACAAAACACTGATCATATATATACTTGTGTCATTGTGTGTATGCATGTGTGTGCAATATTTGGAACACAATAACACAATCTCAACCACACAAACAGAATAAACATTCTAAAGAGAGAAAAACAGTAAAGCCAAAAGATAAATCCCACAAGCAAGTTACTTTTGGTGGGTGTTCGTTGGAGCTTTGTGTGGCTATATTGGTTAACACAGCCCGGTCAAAAACTGTGAATTGTTTGAAGACATTGAAAACTCTACTAGTCACGTTCTTGGCAACACTATTGGAACCATTATAACTGGCACCATTGTGTTTGGAGGATTAAGTATTATGAATTGAAATGCTAATGGTATAATCTGAGGATTTAGAAAAAAATTGTGAATTGGAATTGTGTTTGAAGACACTGGAAACTCTACTAGCAACTTTATTGGAACCATTATTTGGAGATTTAAGTATTATGAATTGAAATGATAAAGTTATAATCTTCTCATTATTAGCACAGAAGAAAAAAAACATGTCATTTTGACCCAAAAAAAGAAGGAAAAAAAAAACATATCATTGTTTCTGTTTTGTTTGTGGCCCTGAAATCTCACACAGAATTTCGTGGGCTTGATGAACTATAAACTTTGGGCTCCATTACGTTGACGTATTATTATTACCTTCTCTCTCTCCACTAAGATTTTTGTTTTTTTTTTTTTTTGGTAAACAGATTTTTGTTTTCTTTCGAGCCGCATCGTTTCATTTAATTTTGTAGACAAAAATTTAGTGATATTATCAAATTTATTTGGGAGATAGAGTTTGAAAACTAAAAATTAATATCACTAAATTCTCTCTATAAATTGAAAATATTGTAGCTAGACTATTTTCATCAGATTTCGGAAAAAAGTTAACGTCTTTAATTTATGTTATCCCTCAAAATATGAATATATATATATATATAACGACTTGGATTTAAAATTTAAGTTGGTTTTGCTTTCAAAACAACGTGTTATTATATTTTTAATTAACCATTTATATGAGTCCTGATTTACATGATCGTACAGTAAAAACAAATACCTAACCCTTGATCGAACCTGTGTCCTATGTGGCTAATGTTAACATGTCTTCGGGTTTAAGTTACTTGCTAAATATGAAAAGGAAGGTTTTATATAATAGTTTTTATATGCAGTATAATAATAATATACTGTATGTAATTTATATAAACGACAAGAAAATTTAATTTAAAAGCTTGTCTCACATACAAATCTCAGTGCCATTTGTCCTGTTTTATTAATATATATTTTATTAATATATATTTGTCCTGTTTTATTAATATATTACATGTTCAGTTTTTTGGATTAAGTGATAGAGAAATATGAAAGCTTACCGCTATGAAAATGTAATCCTGGAATTATCTTTGCCATATGTAATATTGGGATGTAATATAACGTGAACTGGCATAAGAAAACAAAACTCATTTACTTCTTACAAACGATACAAAGTTCCAATTTTCCACTTAGAGCTTATCCACAATGGCCAATAAAAAATACTCAATTACTTAATAAGATAAACGATAAAAAGTTCCAACTTTCCACTCGAAAACTTTATCCACATTCTTCTTTCCGTAGACGTGTACTCAGCAGAAACACGATATTCTCGAGCTCTCGATCTCACACGAACAGATGTAACAATACAGCTTACACAATTCCAAGTCGGCATATAATATATTATGGATTATATGATTTATAACATTTTAGCCTACTAAATATGACAACCTAGAATGTTATGGTTATCTATGGAGAGATATCTGGTAGATATGCATTAGCTAGAAAACAGTTCAGCTATATAGTGATTCGTGACCATCTATATAATTTGTGACGTATCAAAAGATTCTTATTTAAATTCTGATTGAGTAATACTCCATTTGAATTCTGCTTAATCATTTGTTTTAGTTGTAACCACAAGTCATTACTTATTAGCGCAATATCCTCTTCTCTAAGTAGAGATCACGAATCACGTGGGAATGAGTGAGACAAAGTCTGACCTGACTCTTTTAAGATATGTAATTCCGACTGATATATAAAACTTCACTAGTAATATAATTTAATTCGGATTTTACTTTAAATAATACGATTTTAGATATATTATCTGAGCATATAAATGTAAATGGCCCATATGGCATGTGGGATATTAACTAGGGTGATGTTATCCATTTATGCATATGGGTGTTCAATGTTAAGTCTTTTCATTTTTCCAACTCAAGAATTGAATTCGGATGACGAGTTTGAATTGCACATATATTTGATATCTAGATATTTTATCTGTATTAATTAGTTTGGAATACCACAATATATGTACTAATCAAACAAATTAGAAAAAGAATCATGACTTTTGATGATATCATGATTAAAGACAAATTTGTTAGTACAATTGGTATTAGACTATTAGTAAACAAATTGTACTAACTCTTTGTTTTCAGATTGAAGAAATTTCAACTTAAGAAAAAGAAAACTGGTCGCCAGCTCGGATACGTTAGTACGAATGGTATTATCATCTGCAAAGTGCAAAGTCTGTAACTAATGGACTACTGACAAGACAAGACAAAAAAAAATTCGTGTCACAAAAAACTATCGAACGAATTTCAAGGAGAAGAATTTTAAAGAATTTTTATTTAAATGTCATATTTTAATTTTTTGTTTGAAGCACTATTTGACGCAAAAAACTTAAAAATCTGGAACTGAGGCTGATATTAATAAATTGTTGAATCCTAAACTCATAGATTTTATTTATTACTCATCCTGATTTATAATATAAAAAATTAGCAAAAAAAAATCACAAAATTAGGATTTTTTTCTTTCTAAAACTATGTTATTTAATATATAATAGAAAACATCTCAACCAATCATTAAAAATTTGTTGAATATAATTGTTCATAATATATTTAATATACTCATAGAAATGTGAAATTTTTTGAAGAAGTACAATTTTATTATTGAGAACATAATAATTATTAGAGTTAAAATAGGAATATATCTATATATATATATATATACATTATTTCTTGGTCACTTCTTATAGTGAAAATCAAATGAAGAGTTTGAGTTGTCGTCCAAAGAAAAAACAATATTTATGTTCCCTAAAATCAAATGATGAAGTCGAATAAGATTTTTTGTCAGAAATTCACAGAAAGTCAATGAAATACTGCATGTAGCTAGATACTATACGAACTAATAGTCAAACTGGCGGACTTCGTGAGACTGCTTTTGTTTACAGCTATAGGCAATCATTTTGGACGGAAATTAGTAATCTGAAAAAGTCCATACTCCTTATAGAAAAACAATTTGGAAAAAGACAATATAAATATTACACAAACTAATAATGATAAACAAACAAAGAGTCTTTTCTCTCTCTTGAAAAGCGATAAATGTGTGATTAGGGTTCCTTCCGACTCGTACGCCATCGGCCCTCACGCCGTCTGGTGAGAATTTCTGGTCTTCTTCCCCCTTCTCTCTGTTCTCCCTCCCTCCTCTCAAGCGATTGCGCTCTGATGCCTCAGCCAAAAAAGAAAAAGAAAGCTCGTCACCGAGGGTTGGTGGGCACCTCGAAGTTTGCCCGTGTGGCAGCGGCTGTCTTGCCTCCACCCGCCGGTCTTCCTCCCTCTAGCTCGGATGGGCGCCCCTGCTCGGAAGGGTGCTCGGGATCGCTTTCGCCTCCTCAATCGTCCGATGTTGTCTCTTCAGATCTGGATCTATCTCTTGCCTCCGGAAGCGGCCCTTCCAGTGATCCTGGTATCGCCGATGCTGCTCTACCGACTCAATTTTCTCTCGCCGCAGCCTCTGAGACCACTCTCCCCGCCGTTGAAGGTCCATCCTCCGGCCCTGATGTTCCCTCAGTCGGCATTTCAACTGAAGCCTCTCTGGAAGCTCAGACTAGTCAGCACCGGAATTGGTCCTCGGTGGTGCAATCTGCGGGTATTCTTGACTCCATTGGTACCCCAACCACTCATGTCTCGGGTGTGCCATTTGTTATGATACCTGATGCTAATATCGAATCGGCGAAGGAAGAATTCAAGGACTTCGTGTTTGCTAGGTTCCACAATGACGCACCGGACATGGGTCGCATCATTGGAGTGGTTAATGCTATTTGGGCTCGCTCCGGACCCAGAATTTTCGTTCACAAAATTGGACTATCGGTCTTTCTTCTTCGTGTGACGAACCAGCGAGCTCGCGAGATAATTCTGAGTCGGAACATGTGGAATATTGCAGGATTTCCCATGTTCGTCGCTCCTTGGTCTCCGGAATTCTCTCCGGAAGCCCCTCCTCTCACTTCAGCCGTCGTTCCTGTGGAATTTAGAAATGTTCCTTACTTGTTGTTCAACAAAGAAAGCCTAAGTCGGATTGCCACAGCGGTTGGGAAGCCAGTTAAGTTGGCACCCAAAACGGAACGCAAGGAGAATTTCGAAGTTGCTAGAGTCTTTGTTTGTATTGATCTCCAGGCTGAGCTCCCATCGAAGGTTATGTCGGGATTCTCCAACGGAAAGGAAACACTTATTTCGGTGTCGTATCCCTGGATGCCGGTTAAATGTTCGGCATGTGGACGGTATGGCCATGCTGGTGTTAATTGTCACACAATCTCATCTCAACCATCTCCTACTGGTCGAACTCTGAGCCGGTCTCCTACCAGAGGCGCTCGTAAACGTATCAGAAAGTCTAGGTCGGGCCGTTCGCTTGACAGGACAAAGCATGTTGATGTGGAAGGAACTGGAATTCAACAAGATATTGATGTTGGCAAATCCCACAAAACCCCAGAGGCAACGGATATGCCCCAGACTAAAATTTAGAGAAAAGTTGTTCGACCACCGATTGACGAGGTTATCATTGAAACCGCTAAGGATAATGCGGGCTCTGCTTCAGCTGAGGTTGATATGGATGTGGCGAGGCAATCTACCATTTCGTATCAGGAGACTGAGCTGCATCCGGTTTCAGAGAAAGGACCTAGTGAAAACATGGAATCCCAGATCTCTGGCGGAGGGACATCCGAACCACGATCGTGCGACAAGGAGGAGTTGTGCACGGAAGATGAACAACCTTTTTTCTTGGTTTCATACAAGAGGAGTGGTCGCAAGGCCACAAAAAACCATTAATCTATCATCATGTCATTTTTTGCGTGGAATGTAAGAGGGCTCAATAGTGATCGACGCCACACAATGGTCAAAGACTGGATAAATATCCACAGACCGCTTTTTGGAGCGTTCTTAGAAACGCATATTCAAGGAATAAATGCCGAGCGTATAGTAAGAGCTCTGCCTATCGGTTGGAAATATTTTGGGAATTATGAGCATCACAGTACTGCGAGGGTCCTGGTTGTTTGAGATCCTTCAATCTCGGTGATGATTTATCAAGCTTCAGCACAAGCCATTACCTGTGGGGTGTTTTTACCTGCTGAAAGAATAAGTTTAACTATAAGTTTTTGTTATGGGTTTAATCAGGTTGAATCTCGGGTTCCTCTTTGGAATGAGCTTCGTCAGATAAATGATTCCACTCCTGCGGCTAGTTACCCATGGGCAGTCGTCGGAGACTTCAACCAAATGATGAGAGTATCACACCACTCTAACCACTTGGCGATTGACGTTGATACATCAGGTATGGAGGAGTTTAACTTGGCTCTGCAAGATGCTGAGTTATTTGAAGCCCAAGCCAAAGGTCTTCCCTTCACCTGGAAAAATAATCAAGCGGATCCTATTTCTACTAAGATTGACCACGCTTTTATAAACCATGCGTGGTCTTCATCCTTTCCGGAGTCGTTTGCTGAGTTTTTGGAACCTCTTCAATCCGATCACACTCCATGCCTGGTTAGGATCCCATCTCTGCAACGGCGAAACCGTAAACCGTTCAAGTTTTTCCACCATGTGATTGACCATCCTTCTTTTACTGATGTTGTTAAGGGTGCTTGGAACTGTGACTCAGTAATAGGTTCAGATCAATTCAAGCTAGTCCGTGTTATGAAAGGATTAAAGTGAAATTTGCGGAGTTTGAACAAGAGACACTACAGTGGGATCTCCTTAAGGGTAAAAGAGCAAGCTGAAAGACTGTCAGATTTACAGAGATCCCTTCTCACCTCCCCGAATGCAGATGTTGCGCGAGAAGAGCACGCGGTATAATAGAAACTCATGCTCGATAGAAATATTAGATCTAATAGAATCAACAAATGCGGTACGTGAAAAATGGAAGACTTTAATAACGGCTGAGGAGAAATTTTTTAGACAAAAGTCAAGGGTCCGGTGGTTGCATCTTGGTGACCGGAACACTTCTTTCTTTCACCGAATGACATCGCAGAGAGCTTCTAGGAATCATATCCACTTCCTCAGAGACAATGACAACAGGATGATTGGTTCATTAGAGGATATTAAGTCTCATTCAGCTGAATACTTTAAAGGGATCATTGGTCATACTGATATGCCTCTTTCCCCTTGCTCGGTCACTCAGTTAAAAGCTTTGCTGCCTTTCCGTTGTTCAGATGATCAAAAGCAGAATATGCAGAAGGAAGTATCTCTAGAAGAGATCAGAGCGGTAATCTTCGCAATGCCTTTAAGTAAAAGCCCTGGACCTGACGGGTATTCGGTTGAGTTTATTCAAGCTTCCTGGGATATTGTTGGGAAGGATGTGATATGTGCTGTTTAGGAATTCTTCAGGAATGGCCGCTTATTAAAGGACCTAAACACCACGGCTATTACCTTGATACCGAAAAACCCCGAGGCGTCAAAGCTTGGAGATTACCGGCCTATTAGCTGTTGTAACATTGTTTATAAAATAATCTCCAAGATCATTGCGAATAGGCTCAAACTGGTTCTTCAGCACTGCATTAGTCCCAATCAGGCCACTTTTCTTAAAGGTAGAAGTTTGGGAGAAAATGTTCTACTCTCTTCTGAGTTGATCCGAGACTATACGAGGGCTTCATGTCCTAAAAGCAGCATGTTAAAAGTTGATATCCGCAAGGCCTTTGATACGGTTTGCTGGGATTTCATCATGAAAATGCTTCAGGCTCAAGATTTCCCGCCTATGTTCACTACCTGGATCAGAGAATGCATCTCATCCCCTCACTTTTCCATTAGTGTAAACGGTGAATTGGCTGGCTTCTTCTCGGGAAAAAAGGGCCTTAGACAGGGTGACTCCATATCGCCATATCTCTTCATCATGGTGATGGAAGTTCTGTCCAAGTTATTTGAAAATGCGGTTGATAATGACCAGATGCGGCTACATCCCAAATGTGACAACCCTAGAATCACGCATCTTCTCTTCGCTGACGACCTCCTGGTCTTCTCTGATGGTTCCATTCACTCATTGTTGGGTATCAAGGCGGTTATATCTGAATTTAAATATTTGTGTGGCTTGGAGATGAATGTGTCTAAAACAGAGATTTTCTTTGGTGGGTATAATGACAACGATACAGATGCCCTTAGTAGCATATCCGGGTTTAAGCTTGGTTCCTTCCCGACAAGATATCTGGGTCTCCCGCTTAACCCTTCTCGGATATCTCTTGCCACGCTTCAGCCATTCATTGAACGGGTCACGAGTAAACTGCATTCTTGGACTGTGAAGCTACTATCATTTGCTGGTAAGATTCGCCTTATCTCCTCTGTAATTTATGGGATGGTTAATTTTTGGAGCTCGGTGTTTGTTCTGCCAAAGTCTCTTTATCGGAAAATCGATTCTCTATGCTCGGCTTTTCTGTGGAAGAATAAAACAACCTCTGCGGTGGGTGCAAGAGTGGGTTGGAAGGATGTTTGCAAACCAAAGGAAGAAGGCGGTCTCGGTATTCGTCATCTGGAGGAGTTTCAGTTGGTATTCAGACTAAAGCTGTTATGGAATTTCTTCTCGATGTCGGGCTCTTTGTGGGTGGCTTGGTTGAAACAACATGTGTTTCGCAGGAGAAGCTTTTGGCAGGTCGAGGATTCTCCACGTTTTTCGACCACAATCAGGAGATTCCTTCAGTTGAAACCAATGCTGGTTAACTTTATGCGATGCGCCATCGGAAATGGGGAAACTGCTTCCTTCTGGTTTGAGTACTGGACGGATTTAGGGCCTCTATTTGATGTTTTCGGAGATTCAGGTTCTCGTCAACTTCGCTTGTGTATCTCTGATCCTGTTGTGCGTGCCACACGCCATGGCGACTGGCATCTCCCAAATGCAAGATCCCTCAACGCATAAACACTTCAGATCGTGCTTAGTACCATCTCTCCTCCGTCCCCTGATAGAGGGGAGGATTCTTATCTCTGGCGGAATGCTTCAGGATCATTCGGTAACCAATTCTCCTCGAGAGCTACCTGGAATCATATTCGTGTTTCAGCTCCAACGGTTTCGTGGCATAAAACCGTGTGGTTTAAAGAATCCATCCCTCGCTGCTCTCTTATTGCTTGGCTAGCAATGCTTGCTCGTTTACCCACAAAAGACAGGTTGATGTGGTGGGGTATGGCTGTCTCTGGAGTCTGCGTTCTCTGTAACTCGGGAATGGAATCTCATGATCACATCTTCTTCCAATGCCCTTATTCTGCGGAGCTTTGGTCGTTCTTCTCTCGTCGTGTTGGTACCGTAACCAACCAGACTCTTCCTCTTGCAACCGCTTGGATTGATCTACATGCAGGTCGTGCAAATTCTCGTATCCAAACTATTTTGAAGTTGGCGCTGCAGGTGGTCTTATACTCCCTTTTGAAGGAACGCAATGCCAGGATTTTCAAGCTGGAATCTATGTCTGTTGCTACTGTCCGTGCGTCTGTCGACAGAATGATTCGGGATCGGCTCCTCTCCTTCCCGGCCAGGAGTCTCTCTAATCCTTCTTTGCTCGAGCTTTATTTTCAGCATCTGGGTTCTTTAAGTTAATATGTATTCCCTTTCCTTTCTTCCTTCCTTCCTTCTTCTTCTATGTAATAAGTGGCCTGTCCACAACTCTGTAAAATTTAAAAGCTGGTATAAAATCTTAACATTTTCGACCAAAAAAAAACTAATAATGATAATTATTTCTGCTATATAATCACGGAAGTATCAAAGGATTCACATTCCCACCAGCCAACATGCATATAGAATTATACAATACACATACACAAAAACAGGAGATTAAAAAAAGAAGAAGAGATTTTGTACATGAGACTATGTAGTTCTTCAGAAACACAAAATTCTTAAGTTGAATCCGTACAAAACAAAACATTACTTGAAGTCTTGTTTAATTGCATGCAATAAGATGAGGTTTTCTTCTTCTTCATTTTTTTCCCAGCGAGGCATCATCCTTTTGATTTATACAATGATTTCTTACAGAGCATTTTTAAGAGAACTCTTACAACAGAAAACGCATGACACAGAGTGCAATTAAAATAACGAGAGAAATACCGACCACACATGATAAGACAATAGAGAAAACCAGGCCTGTCAAACGAGACGGGTAACAAAAATAGTGTGGGCGTACATACTGGCAAAAAAATGCCAATATAATCTATAAAATTTTGCTTCACCAATTGGCTAAATTTAAAACTAAAATCTATCATTGGCTGGAAAAAATAGTTTTGAAGCCTTTTTAAGATTTTATGTAAATTGAGAAGTTAAGTGGTATTTTGGCAGAAAATAATCGAAGTGCTAAAATGTATTATATATATATTATCCACCAAAATGCCACTTAGCTTCTATTTTTGTACATGCATAATATTTTTCCGTGCAATATTTTTAATTTCAACTTGCGTTGTATTTCAGATAATTTTCAAATAATTACTCGTTCAAAATTGTTTATTTTATTTAAATCATTTTTTTTATTTAAATCATTAAATGGGTATAAGAAGCAGAGTAAGGGAGTAAGATAAAGTACCCAAAATAAATAAATAAAATAGAAACATTAATACGCTATATATGTTCACATATCGCTAAAACAGATGTAATTAATCAAAACCACGTAATTCCTAATTATGAGTTTTCTTTAATGTCGGAACGCTAGAGGTGTGATGTTAACTGTAGCTTCAAAAGTATCATCATCGTTGAGTTTGTTTCTTCTAGTTTGGCGTTTATGAGACAACCGCGTTTGCGGTTACGTTGACCAGAGGTCTCTCTACGTGTTTTGATTTGACGCACGAGTTTGGCATGCTTATTGTCCCACGTGGCAATTCTTACTAAAAGTAAAATGGTCCCGTAAAGTAACTAACAAACTTCGAGTCATCCTCTTTACGTTTATTCTAAGTAACGCTCAATTTTTTTTTTTTTTGAACCTTTTTGTAATCACGCTCAAAGTTGTCCCCAATTTTTGCTTTTGTCGATTATACCATTCATCTCTCTTTTATGTTATTTTTTTGTAACAAATCTCTCTTTTATGTTTGAAAACTTGTAATATATAATTAATCAACGTTTTAAATAACAAAAATGCTCAATGATATTTCGACATATTAATTTACGTTTCAGTCTACCAAATATCTTAATTTTTATAACGAAAATACTATGATTATCTGTTTTGGAACATTTTCGTACTTTATTATTTATTTTCTAAATTTTATGACATCACAAATAATATTGACTTAGTTACTCCACCATTCTCCATACCTCTTCCATATGACATAACATTTTCTCATTTTCTTTTTGTTTCCCCACCAAGAAATTAAGAATGGAAGCAAATTTCTTGTTTGGTGTCGTATATTTTTTTGGACCAATCATCAACATGATAAACGTAATTTAAATAAATATATGGAGAATTTTATTTCCAAAGATAACAAATGTATGACTGAAAATTCAGTTTTTTTTTTATAAAATCATTCACTAGCTAAATTCATATTATCGAATTTTCAAACGAATTTACTCTTTATAAATATGATAGCCAAAAGGCCCAACATATACAAATTTTCTTGCACTTTTAAAATATTCAATTCAACGTCATACTCCTTTAACATATATCTCAAGCATCTTATATATGTTAAAGACATAAGTTTAATTTTGAGAAAATTTAACCCTCTGTTTTTTAACTAATTTGTTGGCTTTTTTAACAACATATAAT